TTTCATCATCATTTTGTTGCAAGATATTAATTATTCAGTTTGTTGTACCTTCAAGTCATTAAATAATTTTTGAAATAGTCGACAACTTCTTGTTAAAAACCAGTTAGTTAGACATATCCGGCATTCGAGGTATGTATCTAATTAGCTGATTTTTAACAAGAAGTTGTCGACTATTTCAACAATATGCATTTTTATTCGTCGCGGTTCTTATTATCAAGTTCATTAACAAGCTGCGGTTTCCAAAGACTCAATAAATATTTTTTGTCATTTAATCATTGACTTGATAACGAGGTATGCTCGAAACGTCGTTATTCGAAATTTATAGTTATTTTCTATTATGTTGTACCGCACGCAATCTAGAATATAGACAGTATTGTTAAAACATTCAAATATATAATAACGGGAATAACTTTTGAGATTTGGAGCCTGACTTTCATCTTAATATATCGTTGAATCTAAGCAGTTTAGTCGCAATATTCTTACAAACTATACTTTTATACTAAATTGTGCATTTTAGTGGCAACCCTTTACATAAATAGCGTAAAGCAAATCTTGCTAGCTCAGATTAACAAAGCAAAGAAATGTCCTTAAAAAATGATACACTCAAACTTATGATTGACATAATCATAGGTTACTCAGGGTAGCACCTCACTCTTCTTCAAAGCTTTTTATAAAAAGTGTTCAGTTTTCTGTTATTGACTTTATCCTCTATAACATTCACACTTTTCATTTAGGAATCAATTAGCTACACGTTCTACTTTCGTTGGCATTCCTTTGTTATTCCATGACCAAAACATTACAAATTATAACATAACAAATAAAGTAATAGTTTGCTAATTGATATTTGTCAAGTGCTTCTATATTCAATAAATTTTATGACACCAGAAGCTGTTTCAAACTTTGCTTGGAATTCTTTTTAAAAAAAACAAAGGACTTATTTTGAAGAACAATAAGTTGAATTGACTAGATAAATGCTCGTGATCTATTGAAAATAAAAAAGGTAGGTCTTTGCTGGGTGTTTCCATATGATCTTTCCAAAATTTAAGAAGATAGAGTTTGTTTAAATTAACTTTAATTGCCATCAGAATGTCATTCTTGTAGGTTGAATAGCAACAGTTATTATGCTATCGTAGATATTTTCTGTCTTGCATTTCAGTGAGTAAGAATCATAGGTGGTCTTATGAAATCGACTTCAGCTATCAGCTCTGACGTGTTTGTCCAGGGAGGAGGTATGCATTTGGACCACGGGTGACGGATGGTGAATTGCCCCATTATAGGCTGTCATAATAATCGTTTTGATTAACAATGCAATCATTTTCTAACGGCAAACCTTCGCTTTCCCTCATTTTCTTTCCGCTTCCCTTAATTAAATGTGCCTCTAAATGTTCGTTTTTGGGATCTTTTAAAGCTGCATGTTGGATCTTCGATTATTAACCTTTTAAAGGCATGTTCATTAAGTTTTTATTTATTAGCAAACCAAAACTTTTTTGATAAGATCCACGTCAATAAAACCAAGTTGAAAACCTGAGATGGATCCTCATTTTTAGCAACTCAGATATAGAAACCCACTTCCCCTACCACAGTTATGTATGATTCATTTCCCCAACCCTGGCTATGAAGCTGTGGGATTTCGATCGTCGGAACAATACTGACTTATGTGCACTTTGTTTTACAAAATATCTGCATTTTTTCTGATCTGATTATTGGCATTACTGCCATATAATACCGAAACTCGGCATCGGTAATATCTGGCACATAATAACCGAGCCCCGGACTGAATCTTAGTGGCCACGCCGATTGCAGAATTAATTCCAAGAGCCATTGGGAAATATAACCTAAACTTATGTTGAAAAGAATCTATAGAAAACTATAACCTAAACCAAATTGATTTGACCAAATGCTAATAACGATCAAATTGTTAATAGAACAAGTTCGGCTAGCAGTAAAAGTGAAAGTAAGGCTGTTCTATAGTGTAACCATGGTACAAAAAATAAACCTAAAAATCTAGTGATTTTTATAACTTTAGTTATGCAAAATTATCGTAATCTTTACAATTCAATTGCCCAACTACAGAATCATCCTGGTAACTCGAATTCAGATTACAGAATTGTTGTCAACCTCCCTCAAGCCAAGTAAATTTTACTATAAAACCTCATATTTAATGAGTTTAAAATGGGCGCAGTCAGAAAATTGAGGGTACTCAACTAGTCTTGATCCCCTATACTTGCAACTCTGTTTCTTCAAAAATTATTTTAAAAAATTGTAGCTTGTTTTCAATTATAGACAATTTTTGGGACAGATGTAAAGTTACATGCTTTTATCAATTAAAAACCATGTCTCATAATTTACATATATAAAGTAAAAGAGTTAATGCCATAATTTTACAATAAAAATCAGTATCTGACTTTATTTTCAAAATAAAGGTAATAAGATTTCTTCAACTTCCTCAAGTTTCAAATTTTTTTCTACAACCTTCCACCAATCCCTGGACGTGGGGCCGTCAAACTCCCAATTACTCGAACTATTATCCATTCACTTTCAGCCTTTTTCAATACTTTCGAACCTCCTATATCTCGATCAATCGTTAACTCATACATTTTTTATTTAACGTTTGAGTTATGAATAATTACCAACCTATTTTATTGACGTTTTAAAGGCGAGAGTGTTTGAGAAAAAGAATGCGGAAAGACGTAGGCCATCTGAAACCAAAACACTGTTTGCCCTTCCGTACTAGCACTGTGAAACCGGGACGATCTTGCTCTGCTATCCGGAACAGTTTTTGACCCTGCTTTGAAAGCGAACGAATTTTGTACGGTCAGGGTTCCGTTTTGAACCGGACAGTATAAACACCTATCCGAGACGATATTGTCATATTGTCACGGGTTCACAAAGAGGTCTTTTGTATGGCTGTTTCAGGTAATCGAGGCTTTGATAATGGCGCAACTACGTTATCAAATTCTGAAGAAAAGGAAATTCTGAAGAAAAGACGACCACAGAAAAGGCTTGTATTGTTTCCCAGTCCAAGCCTTGATTGGACTTTGCAGTTTTGTTGTCTAAAATAACACTGAAAATTAAAGCCACCTTGTCGTTCGTCCAAGTAAAGTTATTATCGTCCTTCCGCTCCATTTTAGCTCTCAATAAAATTTAGATTGTTGACTTCGACGGCAAAATAAAAGCCTCGGTTGACTAAATACAGCTTCTTCTAAACATTGTTCTACCATTAAATTAAGGTCGTACCGGTACAGTGTAAACGGAACGGCTAAACGGAACAATTTTGTCTAAGTTGATTTATTTCAGATTATTATTCAAACATTTGAATTTCAAATTGACGAAAACTGGCTTGAAAGTTTCATCGTTCTACCAATATGCCAGAAATAAAAAAAAATAGGCAAGAATTTCTTCAAATCGTTTAATTGCTGGCTGCTTATTGGCCTGCTCAACAGCAACAGTTTTAAGCAGATGCACTAACAGGATCTCGCATGCTCTTGCAAGCTTCGATAGCAACTTACGTAATCATAGAGTTTCTGTGCGATAGCCAGTAATGCCTCATAAGTACCTCAGTCTAAATAAAGCCTTTGGTGAAGTTTTAAAACTAGGTCTACATTTCACTTTATCTAGCACTTCAGATTACGTCAGGAAACCAAGTTTCAGTTAGACAACTTGAATAGTTACAAACTTACAGTGCAAGACCCAATATAGGACTGGGTACAAGAACCATAGTTTAAAAATTGCTTTTGTGAAATTTTTAAAGCTTTTTTGCATATCATTTTATCGAGCACGTCAAATAACGCCAGAAAAAAGTTTCAGCTTTATAACTTGCAATGTTAAGGAGGTTGTAGTGCTATACCAGAAAGAGGACTGGGTACCAGTACCCCAGTCCAAAAATAGCTTTTGGGGGCTTTTTTAAAGCTTGATATGAATTTCATGTTATTCAGCATATCGGATTGTGTACTTGTACAAAACTTCATGCTATTATTATAACATGCACAATTGCTATTATCATATCATAACTGCTATGCGTCTGACGAAAAGTTTCCAAAGCCATAACTTTTTGCTTATAGGTCAGATCACATTGCTTTTTTTAAATCTTTTGCTCAGTTTTGCATGTTCTTTCCGAAAGTATCATCAGATTTGAAAAATTCGAAAGTTGAAATTTTGCTGACCGTGCATTTTTCATGCTTCCGGAAACGCAACTTTCGGTCATTTGCCAGAATGTTCCAAGGGCTTAGAATGATAAGTGGCCTTTACTCTTATGATTTAAACTTTAAAAACTTCGGTTACCCAGTTTGCTAGAATGTTATGCAAAATTCCCTGTCTATACTGGTCTTATAAATGAAAACGTAAACCTCTCTTACCGAAAGATGGATTTCCTAATTTTTTCTAATCCAGTATCGCTTTTTTGATAAATTTGAAATTTTAAACTTGCTGATAAGAGCACTCTTCGGACAGTCGCTATATTCTTTTGTAATATTCGCAGCGAATTCGCATAAAAATTTCGCCAGTGTAAATTGAACTTCGAATTCGAGAGAAAAATTCGCAGCTAAAAAATTCGGGGCGAAAAATTCGCTTTGCTCGAAAAATTCGTCTCGTGTTTATCAGGCTTAAATCAGGCTTTAGAGATTGCTTGCAGAGCAAATAGCCTTAAGGCATCTAATGAATAGCTTAGCCACTTTTTAGCGCAGGTAACAACTGCGGTAGAAGTTATAAAAAATCAGTGTCGCTTATATTGTTTTTCATTGAAAATAAGCCATCAAATTTTAAATATTTTTAAATGCTTGAGGGCAGCATCATTCTAAAGCACCCCGACTTCTACTCATATGAAAAAACTCTACTTGTGTTTTGACGTAATGTAAACGTAGGTGCCAATCCAAAAATTTTTTGTAACAATGAAGATATTTATAATTCTTATGATTGGAGCTGCAAGCCAGATATTCAGTCATCACATTTCGTCACAATTTAATTTCCTCTATCTTGAAATATTCTTAACTAAAGTTGATTACCTTGCTTGTCATTGTTGCAGTGGTCAAGATTCAATTAGACCTTTTCCTTCTTGAAATTTGTTGAAAGTTCAGAATCACGGTCCCATACATAGCTCTTCGTTTGCAAAAACATTTTTTGTGAGGCTACAAAAAAAATATTTTTGGTAATTTAAAATGGCACAGAAACAAATTATCTGATAAGAACAAAGTTGAAAAGTTCCAAGTTCAGTCTTTCGCATGACTTTCTGGATTCTTGTTAAATAAAGCAGTCATTCTCATTCAGTTTCTTAAATGCTTTAGATGAAAAAGTCATGTTAACCAAAGATTGTTTAAGCAGATGAACAGGCAAAAAACTTTTGCTGTTCGTGCAATTAGCACAGTAACGTTTCTAAAGCTTAATTGATCAATTCATAAAAACATTCCTATATTCAGCCAGTATGGGAGTTCTCGATAGAGACCTAAAATATCAACCTTGCCCTCAAGGCAGCTTTATAAAAAGGCTTTTAGGAAGTTTTCAACAAGAGACGAACTGCTACGTTGAAAAACTCAACTTACAATTATGTAACCACCTTCCACCTTTCCGCAGATGATAACACAAAAAATATCGGTGAAGGCTACATTCGTCATTCATGCTAATTACATTACCTTAGTGACATAGATTGTCATTCATAAAACTGAATAACAATTCTGAGGCGTGGCTTTGAAGATATCCCAATTTAGGGTTCGTATTTGTCTAGACTTATCTTGAACAAAGCAGTCATACTGTATCACGGTTAGCGCTAAACGTTAATTAATAGCATGTAGTATATAGGTCGAAAATCATTCAAGAAAACACCGACCTGCCCAGAATGCTTATCAAAATGAACGACTCTGCACTTAACTCGTAGGGGCCTCCCTATAGTAGTTGTAATTCACGCATTCAAGCACAATTTTTTTACTTTTCACGCATTTACGCACTGCAAGATTGGATTTTCGCGTACACGCAAGCAATAAATGCAATTTCAGCTATTGCTCCTCAGAGCCCGGTTTGAAGTACTACAACACTAGTTTCAAACTGGCGTCACTTTCGATCCACAACTAGATACATAGATTCGTTTATATCTATAATCATCAGAAGATTAATGTGGATTGTGCTGTATTGTGCTGTGTTGTTCTGTATTGTGTATTTATAGCGTATTATGCAAAGTTTTGGAATATCTGTAATGTTGGTTTGTGGAGGCAACTCGATAACGTTATGTTTTTTGCCTCCATCTCAACAATGATCAACTGGAGTCTTTCTATATTTGTTTTTATTGTGATAGAAAAAGATTATGTGGAGATTTAGACTCCGAGGGTTATCAAAAAAGGTTGTATGCAACTACTTGCAAGCAACTTGCCATCTTGTAAAGTTCTATTGTTCAAGTCATCTCAAAATTGTGTAAAGGAGAAGGTTTATTCTGTAATTTATGCTTTAAGTTCCCCATCTAATTAAAACAATAATCTAATTGTTTTAATCTCCTCCTTGAATCATTCCAGATCGATCATTTTGAACTATTTTGTAGAAAGTTTAACAATATTTAAAGTAGGTGGTCTTGATTCTCAATATTATTGTCCATTAAATTTGCGTAGGGCTTGAAACAAATAATCCTTCCAAAAATCTATAAATTTTAGATGAATCATCCAGTAAATAAAAAACACACGAGCTAACTTGGCGTGATTTTTACAGGAAAGACAAAAACCAAGAATTACAAGAAAAAAAACTCGTGTATCCATAAACATAAACTCTTAAACTTTAAAGAAGCATTTTAATATAGCAATTTTCTAGACTCAAGATTTCAAAGAATCTCATATAAACGAAGCAAAGCTTTTCTTGAATGTGGAAAACAATGGATTTTCGGAAATTTACTTGAAATATTGCATTTTGGAAGCTATACAGACATGTTGTTCTCCTTTTATCCATAAAAAGGTAAAAAGACTCTTTTATCTCTGATGCATGCCATTGATGCTTACCACAAATTTTTGAAAAAGCTGAATCCAATTCGTTATTTTGAAAATTGTTTTACACGTAGTCTAATTAATTGAAAAATGTTCACTAACAGCAAATCTTGTGAAACTTTGGACTATACAAACTTATAATTGGCTTACTTCTTCTGCAAGCATACCAAGCACCCTTTATTACAGGGTGGGATTTTTGAAAAACATAATTGACCTGTTATTTGCTTGACATTATAAATCCATTTCCGTAAAAATAAAACTTAACTATGAGTGGTATTTTCAGAATGGTAAACATGTCTAGACAGCTGGGAATCCGCGCCCCATATCCACTTAAAGAAAAAATGCTGAATCCATCCACGAGGGAGGTGTCTTTGATAATCAGCTAGATAAGTGCTTCATTCTTATGTAGCTTTGCTTCGTAGCTTACTGACATGAATAACTAGGTCATTCTGCTTCATGGTTTTACATGCAAATCCGACTTGCTTTTGAAATGTATTTTAAAGTTATTTACCAAAAAGTGACCTGAAATTGGGTTGCCTTGGCATAGAGACGTTGTCTAGTTAGAGTTTCTTATTTGCTTTTCTATCTAACTTCTAGTGTTGCACAAAATTCAAAGAAAATGAAAATGGAAGTTAATATGTAGCATTTAGTACTATCAGAGGAAAGTCTGCTTTCCAATATGACCTGCATATCTCTACAAGGTGTTCTCTATACAGAATCTAAGCCTTATGCCGATGTATTTGCATTGCTTCTGGATACTTTTTCATTTCCTAACCAAATAATGTCATTATTTCAGCTTTCATGATGTTGTTAAATGGTGCCAACAATATACATTAGTCAACATTTTCAAAATTGTCAAATTTTAAGGAACATCATTTCTTGAATCCAAACCATACATTTTACAGAAATGAATATACACAAGGAAAAAGTATGGGTCAAAAATGTTTCCAAAAGTTTCTAGCTACATATGATCATTCATTGTGAACCATTTTAGAAAAAATTAGGGGAGTAAGTCCTATTCATTTTGATTTCTTAGAGAGATTAGGTCAGCTTCCACAATGGCAGTATCAAGAGAATAGTTGCTACAGTATGCAAAATTTTTCATATCATTTGATATTTTGTGCTACAATGATAGTATCTTCATAACGCAACCTTCTTAGGTTTGCATATCATTTTCTGTTAGCAAAGTTAATGAGACTGAAAGCCCTACTGCCAATGCAACAAGTGTTTGACCCATTCGGGACATTCTGAGTTTTGTTTTGGATCCATTGGAAAAATCCCTTGCTAAAATCAATATGCATTAGACTGGTAGAGTGTCATTATTAACCGTAGCGTAGATAGAAAAATTCATAAGAGGGGCAAAAAAATTATATTTTCCGATAAAAATCTAATAACCATCTAATTTTTCATAAACCTTAGCAAAATATAACGACATTGATATTGAAATTAAACAGGAGATAAACTCTTAACACTTTTTCAAAATTACATTACAGCAGGCCCGTCGGAACCGTAGTCATAATTGTCAAACTGCAGAATGTTTCCTTTATAACAGTATAATGAATGAGAAAGAAAACAATGGGCACCACCCCCCCCCCCCCCCCAATATGAATTTCGTTCCGATGGCACTGTACTACTTTAAGATTTTCTAGTCCTCTTCTCTAAAATAGGCATTTTCATTACAATACCTAATTGAAATAGATTTCCAGTCTGATTCAGAACAACGGCAGAGATCGTTATATTCACTTTTACCTCACAAATCTTACCTCACAAAGGTATCAAGGACAAATAAGACAACTATGTAATATTTCAAACAAGATCAGAAAATTTCCAACAAGATAATTGTTTAATTGTTCTTCCCCTCTGATGGATTGGTATGAGTTTGACTGAATTTATCAGATGAACAGATATTTTGGACAAATATCGTAAAAAGTTGAAAATTTTACAATAATTAAACAACAAGAGAATGACACAAAAGCATTTTTCTAGCAGCAGAATTTAGCGTATAGCAGAACCTCGAACGTTGGACATCTTTGGTATCATTAGAGCATCATGGGTTTTAGAAGAAGCAGATGGTGCAGATGGTTTTGGGTTCAACGAAAATTAAACGTTTGAGGATTTCATGCATCCCCTTTACTCATTATTCATCGGCTTAATATTCTTACTACTGCTTAATACTGGGATCAAAATAACTGAACTTTTGTGTTGTAGCATCTGAACTGAATATTTAAGCTGATATAAAAATAGTACTAGAAAGAAACGCAAAAAGTTCTCAGAAAATGTTGGCATACAATACGTCCATCAACATATTATTGTATGTTGACCAGCAACTTATATGATGAACAAGTGGCTTACAATCATCTAGCTGAAAAGCGTAGCATGGATACAATGGCGGCGCTAGTCACTAAGCTCTGGGGAGGACAGACCAAAAACGTTTAAGCCACGCCCTTTTAACCACCAGAAGACGCCCTTTTACCACCAGGAAACGCCAATTTTATCCGAAGGGAACGCCTATGACTAAATTTTGTTTGAAAATTGGCAGTTTGAAAATCATAGGATTACATCACAAAAAGTACGGTGTCAAAATATTACCCCTCCCCCGAAATTTTCTCATCGAATTTAGACGAAATACAAAATCGATTCTGCTGAGAACTGGGAGGGGGGGCGTGTCCCCCCAGGCCCCCCGGTGGCGCCGCTACTGCATGGATAAGAGAATGAATTGCTTTGTGAAAATGTGAAGGTCATAGAATGCCTTTGAAAATGACAAATAAGATATCCAGCAAGCCAACAAGGTATTTGATAAGGATAAAGAGCTTACAAACAGGTATCTATGGTCCCTTAGTCAACAATTGCAATCAATATAATCCACTCATAATACACTTTTTACCAATAATATGAAAACATTTTATCATCTTGATTTTCAATCTTCAGATAAGATAACTTACTTTCTTGAATAGCAATGAAAAAGTACTAAAGAATCTACCTCTAAAAAGTACTTGAGACTATTCAAAACTATAGCTCTGTTTGATTCAGGGTTTTTAAAAAGGAAAAAACTGTTTGGCTTCGTAGACTAGATATTAAGATGAATGGTTGAATACGTCATTTGTTCTGGATAAAGCCAAGAGCAAAAACCAGAAAAAGCCGTAAGTCACCTTTACCCTTTTAGTTGCGCAAGGAATGTTGAAAAAATTTTCAGCCATATATTTATCATAGTGACGGTTGATTTTTGTGGTTTGTGAACCAAGAATATTTGGTCGGCTAAGAAGCAGACAGAAGTCCGCAAATAGTTCGACTGCTATAAAAGCAAAGATGGCACTTGCATTTGTCAGCTTACATTCAGGTCAAACAGAGTGTACAAGGTTGATCGACTGGGTTGAGGAAAGTCGAGTATTCTGATACCAAGACAATTGGCTAAGAGTCTTTGATCAGTGTTAACATACAAACGAACCTTCACAATGTTCTTGTCAATAATCGCAAGTGTCTTACTGACATGTGTTCGTGCAAATATGAAAGAAAAAGGTATGTAAAATCAAAGTTTTCTAGAACTTACAAAATTTAAGACAAAATTAGCATATACTTAATTGACGTTATTCTGATGCTTGTGAGCCAATTTTTATTTAAGTCTACTTTAAATTAAAAGACTAATTAATCATGTAACATACTGCTTTGGGAAAATGAACGGTTATATTCAAATGACAATAAAAAATTAGATTGACGGTTTTTAAGTTTCATTAATATTTTTTCCGTTTTACCAAAAAAATATTCAAGAAAGCGTGAAATCAATGAAAAGTAAATGTGAAATAAAAGCAAGATGTTTAAGGTTAGAATTTTTTTTAGTCCTGCAGCCTGAAAACTCGCTGAATTTGGATATCAGGAATGCACGGATCGTAAAAAAAAAATAAAAATTCTCGACCTGTATTCCACTAAGTAGTAGATATGCAGAGGGTTACAACTTTTTTTTCTGCTTAACAAATGGCAAATATTTCTTTTTTTCTGTCTACGCCAAAAATGACTCTGTTTTCCGGAAGAATTTTTTATCCAATTTCCATTTTCTGTTGTAAAAGAATGCGGATTCTGTCTTTCTATATACGAAATTATTCCCTTTGATTCATGCATAAATCACAGAAAGGTCCCAAGTTTTAGCTTTTCGCTGTTGTGTGATAGGGTAAGAAGATATGTACATTTTATGAGCCTGCACCACTTTTTTTTACAATCAAAAGAGTCGCTGCGAATGAAGATAAAAAGTTTTATTGGTATTATTTAGCGATTTTAGGACTATCTTTAATAGCTGAAGGTTTCAGATCGTAACAAAAACAAGACGGCTTATTACTCTTCGATAAAAAATAAGGTTTATGAAATTTTTTTTGGTAAATGTGGGCAATCAAATGCCCCAATAGCTCGAGGTATTCCGTTTGTCAAAATCTTCCTGCATTATTTGACACGTTCACACTGTTGTAGTAGCCGATTTTGGGGTAGTAAAATCTTATTCAAAAGAAATTGTTATGAAAAATGATTATGTACACTATATACTACAGGAGAATATTTGCTTCGCAACAAGATAGCGTTATAAAATTGGTGTGTCATCGAAACTGCCAAGCGATGATAATTGAGACTTAAAAAGGAGGTAGAATGAATGGGTAGTTTATTTCAATTTCATTAACAGTTCAATTTATTTTTTGCACCGATTCCAATTTAATATTTTCCCTAACAAGAAATCTTCGACGGATTTGAATCTTTTTCTGGACAGTTTTCTTAATTCACCGCTAATGAGCTCTAACTCAAATCAAACTATTGTCCGCATTGATGTTTGGGAAATCCAAGGGGCAAAATACAACGCTCGTATAATGAATGGATCATCTGGTCTCTAACTTAACATATAACTAAGATTACATTCAAAGACTTTATAAAGAATAGAACCAGCAAACAAAGATTCAAAAAAAATTTCAGGCAATGTCATGCTGAAATTAATTTTTCATCATTTGAAATTATCATTTCAGTTAACCTGAAACCTTAAATATTACAAAGTTATAGTCATCGATCTGCAATCCACATCATCGGGTTAAGTTTTTAAGCAAAAAAGCTGCTAATTTTCTTGCCTTCACGCAGGAAGTTGGTTGGTTTTGCCCAGGAATTACAGGAAACAGAAATTTTTTTTGATTCGTTACCAATGAAGCTCTTGTCAGACAGCTTGTAAAACCGGGTCGCTGCTTGTCTGAGATATGTTAAAATTTCTTATTAGTCGATTTTATTCTTAAAGTTTGTCCATCAGTTTTTGTCGTTAGATTAGTGCACGCTAACTGAGTTGGTCTTGTTCTTTAATTACACCTTGTTTGGTGCAGTGTGTAGAAAGACGTGCATATGATGTAATCAGTTTGTGGGCTAGAGTACGTGCAAGGACGGGATGAATGAACTTTTGAGTACAGTAGACTCTGGTTGCTTGAAAAATGTCCCTTGTAAACCTGTGACTGTAAACGGAGTGTGACTGTAAACGGAGCAAAATTGAATAGTTTTGCTTTTTTGGGTCTAAATTTGATCAGACAGTAACCAGTAGTGTGACTATAAGCGGAGTCGATTGTATTCAACTTACACGAGCACGATTGCAGATTCAATGCACGATCAGGCAATGTTACTTTATTTATGAAGCTCAATGCATGGTTTTGGGGGTGCTTGTAGCTTGGTACTTATGCATAGCCAGATCTCAGAAAAAATTTTAAATTTTTGCTACAATGATTTTGAAGTAAAATATGTTGCTTTTTGATAGTCAAGCCTTGGTGGTGGTTTTAGTTAGAGTTAGATAAAGAGAAGATACTTTCCTTTCATCAGCATTTCTGTAAGCGTTAATAAAACTTTAGACACAGACACTTCTTACTCGTTTAAAAATATGGTAAATGATTCGTCTTGAATTGAACTCAGGACCTTGGCCTTTACGTTGATCTTGGTTCTTATGTTGATGAGATTTTGATGTGGGCTCGGAACCACAACACATATCGATTAAATCAATGGAACATATGGCTTGCGAATCTGTGTCACGCCAAACCTGAAACATAATATTAATTAAACTGGCTAAGCTTTGACAATTTTTGGTTCAAAGATTAAATCATTTATGCTAGCTTGTGAGTCTGAAACTCTGCATATTCAGATATTTGTTCCTAATTACCTTGAGGTTGTCATTTTTCGAGGATGCAATCTTGTAAAATCAGGCCTAGACATCCAATTCTATCTATTCTACCAATTTCCTTACCCTGCTTTTTCCTTTTCTTGATATCTGCAAGTCTACTCTCGTTCTTAAGCTACGACCACAGACGTCATCAAGAATACTTCTATTCTGCCGTGATGAGATCTACCAACTGGCATGACATCCCACTCTTCTTGGGAGAATTTTTTTCATCTAATAATAACATGGACTAGTGACATACATAGGCAACAAATAAAGACTCTGCAGTTTTCATTTCATTCCCTTCTTTGACACGAGGCAATACGTTCTGATACGAAGTACGGAGCTCTGAAAATCAAAAGCAGACAAGGACAGAAAACACTTGAAATATTTCACGACTTTTCTCCCCTGTGTATAATCAGTTAACAAAACAGGTTTTTGTCTTCATAGAGGTGCTTTTGGAGCCGTTCTGCTCTGACACAACAGAGAATCCTTTTGCAAACTGCCAAAAGCTGCGATTTGCCGGGAGATGCAGAGCCTCTCATCTCATGAGAGAATGGTGTCCGAAAACATGCAAGTTCTGCATAAGTAAGTGCATTTTACGATCTTTGTACCATGAAGCTTGTTTGAAAAAGGATAACAATGGAACTTCTGTGTTTGCATCTTTATAGATAAGGCTATTGCAGCATAGTTTGAATTCAGCATACTTTAACGCACTTCTTCACTAGCGTCATTTTATCTGATTTAGAAAGTCGAGTACCAGCGCCTGTAGACTGCCGCCTAACAATGTTTGGATGCTGTGCTGATGGCATACAAGCAGCCAAAGGAAAAAATGGCCTTGGGTGTCCTGGTGAGAGCTACTTGTCTATTTATCTCTACACTAGTTATTGAATGCCAGTATCAACACAATCTTCCCAGAATCAGACTTTTATGGGGAAGAGGACGGAGACCTTTATATGTTTAGATAGCAACAAAGTTAAGCAAATATAGTGTTCACTGTTCGAGGAGATTTCCTCCATATCTAACGACTCCTGAGTACCATAAGGGCGATATGTAACATTTTATAGTTAAATCAATTCTGATAGTGGAAACAAGATGCTAAGTGTTGGGATTTGCAACATACTTCTTTCAAAAGGCGATAAGAGTAGGATAATAAAATTAATACCAAACAGTTTTAATAACCTTGACTTTGGCCTAAAAATTATATATAGACTAAATTCATATATTTATATAGGCTACGAGAGTTATTAATGTACTTCCGAAAACTACAGAAAGCTCTGTTCAGGATAATAAGATACATTAATTTCCTGGCTTAAAGATTTGCAATTTGGTATATAGGCTTTTAGCAATGAGTTAGATCTTTATTATACAAACAATTTTGAAATTTCTTCACAGAAAATTGCAAAGATTACGACAAGCGATACTGCAAATTCTACGCTGATAATAAATTTTGTGAAATGAAACCATATTTTAAAACTATGGAAAGGTTATGTCCAGAGTCGTGTAACTTATGTGGGAAGAAGATTGTCAATGGCTGTTACAATAAACTGTCAGATTCATATTGCAAAAGGCTGGGAAGTTATGGCTACTGTAGAATAAAGAAATTGCAGTCTACAATGCAGAAGAATTGCGCCCTCACCTGCGAGACATGTGGTGACAATGTCCCGAAACTCAAAGATGTAATGCCCAAATGTGCCGAAACTGGTTGTTGTTGGGACAAAGCGACCCCAATCAGTAAAGGTTGCCCGGGTAATTTATCTAATTTTTCTCATTTTATTTTCAAAAAAGTGAATTTTTAATTACATAGACCTGAAGCAGCAACACGAATATATAGGTGTCACGTGCAATAAAAAGTATTGATGCTGGGAACTCTGCCACAAAATGTGTGACAAGGAGCTTGTGTGGTCAAAGCAAATAGGGTAGTGGTTGCTGCCTTTGAGCACAGATGATAATATAAAGCAGACACATATCATGCTATAGATAAAGTTAAAGGCGTACGAAGCAACTGTTTATGTACGCAATTAGCCTGAAATTTAACCTTAAATCCACAGCTCTAAACAATAGACACCTTTAAACAATGGATGCCTCCACATATCGGACCCTTCTCAACCTTTAAGTATCGGACACTTCCAAATAACGGGCAGCATTGTAGAAGTGGCCACCAGGTAGCGTGTATCTCACTTTAAGGAACAGGAGTCTTGGTCCAACATCGTCTCCATTGTGTGATGATTTCACTGTGTAGTGTATTGGAATGTGTGCAATTTTAACATGCGTATTCTCTTCAAAGAGGACACCAGTGCATTACATTCCCTTCTCATCCTTAATATATAGCTCTTTTTTGAGATGCTTTTCCTTCTTGCAGTTTGCCGAGACAAGTTTTCGAACACATTTTGCAACCGATTCAAGCCAGAATGCCAACATCTTGACAGAATTCAGTCGGTGCAAATGGCGCTTTTCTGTCCAGCGACGTGTGGTATCTGTAATGGTATGTTCTTCCTTGCGATTTGCTCTGATTTCGTTATCAATTTTTATGCTGAGAAAAAATCCAAAGTACCTTCCAAGATTTTCATAGAAACAAAAAATTCAAAATTTCGAAAAAGGCGTTAAGTGTATAACCATTCCATAAAGAATTTTGGAGATGAAAAGTGCTTTAGCATGATGTTGATGCCTTTTGTGCAATTTTGATCTAACAGTGCGAATGCTTACATTACAAGAGTATATTACAGTTTATTCACAAGAGTATACAAGGATTTTGTCAAAAATTTGCATTATTTATTGGTGGTTCAGATAGATATCACTTTATCGCGAATTAAGGATCTTGTGTTTCTACGCTTATGTGAAATATTCTTCTTCTCTTAATCATAGGAAGAACATGCAAGGACGATCATACCTTTGGTGTTTTCTGCGATGAGTGGAAATCAATGGGAGAATGCAATAACAGCCCGGCAGGAATGAGGTTATTTTGCAGAAAGACATGTGGATTCTGCTCATAGGTGATCGGTAGGGATCTCACAAAGACTTCGTTCTCAAGGCAGTACTGCTTCTTCTTGTCTAATAGGCAAAAAGTCAGCAAATGATTGGATAAATAACACATTTATCCTGAATTATCTTACAGCTGCATTGATATGGCAGTGAACTTTGCATATCTCTGTGCAACATACCCATACAGTGCTCGAAAATACAACAGAAAGTAACTACAGAAAGTATTTAAAAATAATCTATAATTGATGAGTGTTCACAACTGTTAAATTTGATACATTTTAGAAAGTTTTAGATTGCTTCTCTAGCCAACGTTTGACAGCAATTTAAGTTATATGGAATTTTGAGACGAACATTTTTCAAACGAATTTTTGGAAGAATTTGGAAGAATTCAAAATCAAACCTATAAGGAGTTTCCGAGTCTAATCCAACACAGAATCTACCCTATAACAAAAATAGCAATAAAAATCCTTGTAAATGAAATCACAAATGTTGCAGAATAATGCAAAGAAAATTAAGAAGCATGAACAAGAGGTTTTAATTTATTGCTATTGGAATCAGTAATATCATAAATAGCGACACTGAAACGGAATTAAGACGCGTTGGTTTGGCTGTAATCTAAGTCTATTATCGCTTTTCTTAAAATTTATCATAGCACTCGCATTAATTTATTAATTTATTCATTTTTATAGAGCTATAGAAAGGTTTGAAATAAAGTATTTGTTTAGCAAATAAATTCACGTGTTGCTTTGAGGCGGTTTCCACTTTATTCGCTCTGGTCGTGCGACTGAGCGAATGTACATTGGGGCATGCGCAAATTGCACTTCCTCATTCGCTGAGAATGTGCGATCATTTGCTGAGTAGTTCAACTCAGCAACTCAGTTGAACTACTGGGCGACTGGTCGCGTTCGCCGATTCGCTGACGTCGCGCGACCAGAGCGGATCAAGTGGAAACTAGCCTTTAAGCATTAGAAGAGATCAAGAGCCAAGTCGAAAAGCGGATATTGAGGCAGCTTTGGTCTTGAGCATTATTCGACTGCTCTAGCTCTCGTGGAGTGTACTTTATTGAGAACTCATGTGAAACGTGAAATGTAAAGAAAACAAAATTGTGTAAATAACTAAATTTCTTCAAATATTTGTTTCTTCTTTATTACTTTCTCTTTATCAAATTTAAGCCAAAGTTGAATGAAAATTGCATCAGATGAATTTTGACATCACTGATTGGTGAGATCATTTCTATGGTTGAGATCAACTAATGAGTTGATTATTGACAAACAAGCAAAACGTGGTGGCGTAAGCAGTACCATTATAACATCCTCGATTACAGTAAATTCTCTGCTAACAAAACCCCTCCCCCCTTAGGGTTTTTTGTTCTTCAGCACTTTTAAGGGCCTATGAGAGAGGGTGAGCTAAATTGAGAGAAGGGCTTTATGAATATTTTGTAATAAAAAACATTTAAAATAGAAGAATAACTGTTTGTTAGGTGTGAAATAAAAAATACAGAAATTCAGACTTCTTCATCAATAATATTGTCATCGCCATCAGTTATTAATTCTAAAATATCTTTTTGGACCATGTCATCTTCTGAAATCGAGCATTCGAAATAGTCGATTTTGATTAGAAAAATTGAACGACCAATAAATAAAATCAAATTCTCCGTTTTTGGTCAATTTTACTTATTTTGGCATCAGTGAAATTTTGAAGAAGCTAAATTGAGAGAGGGGTTTATTTAATATTTCCCTTCTGAAAAGGGGGCTAACAAAAGAGGGGGCTTAATTGAGAGGGGGCTTGAAAGAGAATGCGGTAATTAAAAAAATACTTGATCACTCTTTCAAGACCTTTTTTGGGGCAAATTCACAGGTTTGTGCCATCTACAGCACTTAAAGTAGTAATCTAAACCCTAAGACACCTGAAAATAACTTGATACTTAGAAACTGAAACTGGATAAAAAGTAGTCCAGAAAAAAAAGCAACATAATTAAACAATTCATTTATGAATCAATTTTCAAATACCAACTTTTTTTTGTTTACCTACAAAATTTCAGTTTATATTGGCGCTGACAAAGAAACCCTGCAGCCATTACATAGAACAAATATTACAAAACAAACATAGAAAGAAATAAGGATAATCTTACACGAGTGAGGATGTTTGTACAGCATAGTCACAAAGTCCCCAAGAAATGAAGCCACGAATGGTGAATGCATTCCCTGCTTTTTAATTCCATGCACGACCAAATGACCCGTAGTAACAACACACCCAAGCCAAAAAAAGTTTTGAAGACGGCCGTGAAGTCTTTTGATAAAAACTCTCCAAAGAACAGGAAAATTGAAGGCAGAATCCTTAAAACCATTTACAGCTACAATGGAAAATTTTGAATGGCTTCCTAGATCCATGTAGATACGACCTCATAGATTCAATAAACTATAACCTCAAGACAGCGAGTCGAATCCACAAATTAGTCTGTATAGAAACTAAGCAGGCTCCTTTCTCATTGTGAGAGAACAAGGCCACCAATAAGCGAATGTTGTATCTAGACATATTGTCATTTCGATGAAATCTGAACTATGAGGAACATCTTATCTGCAGATTTTTATTCGACAAACAGATAACGTCAAACAAGAAACATTTGACGCTTGGCAATTTATTGAAAATGTTCGATTTGAGGAAATATTCTTCATGTTAGCATTTTAATCAATTCAATTAATTCAAAAAATTTCATAAATAGCATGAAAATTTTGTGACGCAATAAATCATTTGATATTAAGAGTATCAATAACTTCTCCCTTCAAGCAATACTCTTAAATGTAAAAGGCGAGCTTCTCTACCGCTAGCGTCTTGTTTCTAGAAAGTACTTCACCAATCTACCATGCATCAAAAGCCTTATCTTTCATATGCCATCACTGATTATGTAGGAAGTTTTCTTGAACTATTACAAGGATATTATCTCTGTTTATCATTGATTTTATTATTATTATTATTTCTGTTTTTCTGCACCTCCAGGCTGAATATAAGTAACATCAAGCGTTGTGTACGAAGACTTCGGTAGAGTCTTCACAACGCTTAATGAAGGCTACAATCTCTACCGAAGTCTTCGTACACAACGTTTGATTTTTGTGAATTTTCAAAAGTATATTCCTCTCCCTCTAAAAAACTGCAGTTGCATCTTTTCAAAGCTCTAATCTTTCTTAGTTGATTCTTGTCAGTCATAACAGTAAACGCTAAAAAGCAGCATTGTTTAGATGAAAGATTAATGCATAGTGTAATGTAATGTAATGTAATGTAATGTAGTGTAGTGTAGTGTAGTGTAGTGTAGTGCAGTACAGTGCAGTGTAGTGTAGTGTAGTGTAGTGTAGTGCAGTGCAGTGCAGTGCAGTGCAGTGCAGTGCAGTGCAGTGCAGTGCAGTGCAGTGTAGTGTAGTGTAGTGTGGTTTTTCCAATGATTTTTCTGAGAAATTTAGGTTGTAATGTTTAATGAAAGGCAACAACCGCGTCATAACTGGTATCTTCATAAGAGCAAAAATATGTGACAAGGAAGTTTTTTTGCTCTTAGTTGAGAAATCTATACAGGTTTACAAATCGTTTCGTGAAAACCTTTTAGAACGAGACTTAATGTAAATTTCAAGACTCCAAAGTGTTTTTGCTACAAGCTGCACGGCCAAATTCAATGGCTAACACTGAGGATTACTGATAAGATATTAATAGAAATACAATCCGAAGCAGAAAGTAACAGAAGAATGGAAAAGTTTGGTCTTCATTTAAAGATGAATCAAATTTTAAACCTTAAAAGTTACATTTTTCTCAAATAGTTTACTAAAAAAACTACAAACAATAAACTACAAATTGACAAGATCAAAACGCAAGCTAACAGTTTCCAATAAGCACTCTTCTATTATGTATGTTGTGATTGACGCCAGAAAAATTATAGGCAAAGTATATATAACCTGAAGGCTGCGCAAATAAATATTATGTATTGCATCTGTTTACGAAAGTCGCCAATCATCGGCAAGACAAAGAAATTTGCAAAAGGGCCTAGAAAATAATGTAAAACAAATGCAAGAAAGTGGTTGAGCGCATATGTTTGAAAAACTTTAAACTCAAAGAGGAAATATTTGTGAAAAAAACGTGTGTTTGTTGATGAATGTCTATTTTGAATATCAAATAATAATTGCAATGCTTCTGCCTACCTTTGTAATTAATGAAGGAACTCAATTCGTTTTGATTAAATCTAAATGAATGTGTTACTCAAAACATACTGCTCTCTGACACACAATTTCAAAGAAAACTAACAATTCACATAAGTAAACAAACAACTATTGACATAAATAAACAGTCTAGCAATGTCACCAAATATTAAAAAAAATTAAAAAAACGACAGCTAGGTTAATCAGGAGGTTCAGGACGTTTTCCTCTCTTTGACTTTGAATGAAGCAAACTTTGCATCAAAGTTGGCAACACAAGCCTTAGCGGTAAGCAGGTATATCGATGTGGCAATTTTCTGTTCAGATTTTCTGACGAAATACATCCTGTTGGTGGACCTTCCTGTACCAGATCTGGACTGCAGAGTCTCTTTTCCTCTAAATGATTGTTATCATATCTTGCCGATACTTTGATTGTTAAAGGCCCATCAGAATTGTCATCTTTATCGTCATCTTCCTCCTCATGTAAGTCAACAATCTCTTGGAAAGCATTTTGGTAATGGCTACCAGCGTAAAAATCTGGCTGTGTCTCTTGACAGAAGCGAAGAGCAAGACTTTCCATTTCATTTATAGGGAATGTTCGGGCTCTTCTGAAACTATTAGACTTTGAATCTTTACGAAGAACGACGGAGTTCTCATTTGCTGTCTTGGTATTGTTGCTAATTTCATTGTTGGTTGGGGCTGTCTCTTTAGGTGGATTGTCGGCGCTACTATCCTTGACATCAGTTTTAGGGGATAGTCCCTCAGCTGTCATTCTACTGCCTTCCAATGGACTATGTTCTTCAGCAAACCTATCGAATGGCGCTGCTCTGTCACTTTGTACCCCTTCATTTTTGCTTAGCTCTGTCAACTTGGCTTCATACACCAAAATAGACCACCGAAGCTCGTCATTTTCTCGCCTAAGACTCTTGTTCTTTTCATAAGCTTGCCTTAGATTAATTTCCAAGTTGTCCATAGCAGCTTCAGCCTCATGAATCCTTTGGCCTTCCATCTCCAACTTTTTCCTCATTGTTTTCAAGTCCCCGATGAGCAGTGCCTTTTGCTTTCTTGCATCAAGTAGCGCCTTTTCAGTAATTGAGACCTTTGTTTGCAGCACAGTCAAGTTTTCCCAGTCTTCTCTTGTCCATACCTTTTCTTGTGCCATATCATACTGCTCCAGCTGTTTCTTGGCTGCATCAAGCTCCTCTGCCAATTGTTCACAATCATTTCTGCAGATGTTATAGTCTTCGTTTTTAATTGCTATCTCATCAACAAGCACATCTCGTTCACAGATCAGCTCCTCATAATTCTCTTTTAACTCTTCAAATTCTATTTCTAGTTCATTATAGTCTCTAAGAACTTTGTTAAAATTACTTCTAAGTACAACATTCTCCTCTTTTTGCCTTCCTACATCCTCCATGAGCTTCATTGTCGTTCTATTTATTTTATAACGGAGCTCCTCTTCTTGTGTTAGTAAATCTTCTATTTGCTTCCTCAGCTCGTTATTAACAGTGCTCAAATCCTGATTCTCGTTTTTCAAACCAATGTTCTCCATTAACGCATCTTCAAGGCTAGACAGCAATTCTTCGTAGTCTAGCTCATCATCGTTTGACACTTCAACCGTTTTATCTTCTACTTCACTTTGTCCTTCTTTCACACACAGTGAAAAACCAGTACAGCTATGTTGCATATTATTAGCATAAGAACTGCCATTACCGATGCACGATTCTTGACATCGTTCATTGCTTAATACTTTACTGTTTATATTATGTAGGAAATTCTGGTAAACATCACTCTGCTCTTCTTGGCAGTCAGAATCAAAAGTAAACGTCATTTCTCCTCGTTCTTCCATAACCCCCTTAAATGCAGTGCCCTCTTTGGATCTGATAAGAGCAAGAATTCTCTGCAAAGATAACCGATCTTGTTCCAAACTTCTGCGGTCATCGATTATTCGTTCTACAAAAGTTCTTAGCTCTTGAAGCTTTGTTTCAAGGGGTTGCCTCTTCTCTTTAGGTATGTCATAAAGATCCAAGTCAATGTCGAAAGCTTGTTCACCTAGTGTTGACGGGTCTATCTTTGCATCAAATTCGACCACTCTTGCCGGAATGTCTTTATCAGTTTCTGACTCTTCGTTTGGTGCAGAAGACTGGCTTTCAGCTTTAGATAACATACCCCTTTTATCACTCTTTACAGCGGCCGCGTCACTCTCAATTTTAATTTCTGCATTACTATGCCGTTTTACAACGATTTGCCTTTTCATTTGATCATCGGTAATACCTTTCACGTAATTTTCTTCTTCTTCCAAGTCATTTTCAATCGAACTTGATACCCCAGTTTCATTTTCATTGAAATAAGCTAACCTCTCTTTATCACAAATGTTTTTATACACATTCAAAAACGTCCTATCAATATCAATTATTGATCTTGGTGACGGTGTATCTTCATGATCTTCGTCGATTGTTGACATTCGTTTAGCAATGTCCAAAGAAAGTGGTGTTGTCTTTTCATTGTCAGCAGATACGATTTCCGTAGGATTTCTTAGCTTTGAATAGAACTGGCTGTCTGTAACGGGAATACATTTTGTTTTGTCTATCTGAGTTCCAATGACGTCTTCTTCATCATTCTCGTGATGACATATTCCATTGCTTTGCTCTACGTTAGTAAGACTGTCGCAGTTATCTTCAATCTCAGTCTCTAATGAATTGTCCAGCCGATCATTTTCTCCAGTAGGGCTATTTTGACTACTAGACCACGGTGATGAACTGCTTGAAGGGTTGGAACGGAAGCTCGCATAGCCTTCTGAATCTACCAATGTATTATTCAGTTCAGGTAATGACATTTGAGAGCTTGAATCGAGGTTAAAAGACGAGCTCTTATCAAGCGATAAAAGCGAATCATAACTCTGAGAATGTGGAGGCCTGGTGTCTTCTTCCTGGAATGTCGAGTTTGATTTTTCCTTTGCTTGAAACAGTGGAAGAGACACAGATCTTTCACGTGATATAGCAGATCCCTTTTCTTGGGTGGAAACACAAAATTCTTCCACAGACATCATTCCTTCGAATCGCGACAAACCTTCCTCGATGTAGGCAGGTGATCATGAAATCCTTTTAGTATGTATATTTTATAAGGCTAATTTCACATGTGATCCAGCAGGTTAAGTCATTTTCTAGACCACATCCAATTGATAACATCGAAGATTGCAAAGCAATGAATTCTGTTTTCCAAATGTAACACCTTTCGAAGAACTTGATAACATTCAAAAGTAGACTTTCAAAATACAGGCGCTAGAGCAGCCTAAAATGCGCTGCAGTTTTGTTTCTCCTACACTTTCAGTACGGAATTTTGTACTATTGTTGACACTTCCAGTATGGAATTTTGTGCTAATGTTGAGAAAGTGCGAACTCTTTATCCATCAAAGTGGGCAACAGCGTGGCGAAAGCGTGCATCATATCAATAGGGTTTGAAAAACAATGAACAATGCTTGTCCACTCCAAGCTGCAGACGCAGTATAAATTCCCTAAGAGACGTGTATTATTACGCCAAAGAGACGAAATCCACGAAATGATGTCAACCTCAATGAGTTGATAATGCAGTCAGCTACACAAAGCTTCAAAGCATGTTGTCAGAAGCTTCAAAGCAAAACCCAACTAAATTTCTTTTGATGACCTGCACTCCAACACGATAAAAACGGTCTTTAGAAAAGAAGCAAAAAAAAGAGAGCATTTTGCCGCGAAATGTCTGCTGTTTCACAATACAATTTATTCATTTCAGCCTGAAATTGTCCTCCCCTGCAGCATATTCAGACTAAATGCAAATTTCGCGAAGATTATGTCTGATATTGACAATAAGGATATGATAAAAAAGATAAGTGCAGCTGCCTTACTTTGTTAAAATTGCGCTCATCGCGATTGGACGAACCTAAATACTTTTGAATCCCCAGCTGAATATGCCAAAGCTAGTATCAATAATAGATGAGCTGATGAGCGAAAGATCTATTCTGTGCTGTTAAGGGAATCTGTGGAGAGATATACTTACTTCTATAAAAAAGCTACAGCTTATCAGGATTACATCATAAACTGGAGCGCATTTAGGCATATTCTAACTGCAGGAACAAAGTACTCAATAAACCAGAATAACAGCAAACACGTAATATTTAACGGCTATACAGGTTTGACCCGAGGCTGTGGTTTTTTACATGAAGAGCAATGGTTGCGCAATATCCCGACAGGGTTTGCAAGCGTAAGATATATACGCAGAAGAGAACATCCTTTGCTACTGCAGATTCTTGGTTGCCAAATTTTCCTGCTAAACAGGGGCATAGCATGCATGCTTAGATTGGGGGTAGGAGGCGCAATGACATTTTTGGTATGCGGCATATCGTTAAGGGTCTACCGGTCATTTTTTAAGGCAAAAGTTGCTGTGTGGTCACAATTTTTTCATTCACACGGTTTAGTTCGATAAGAAAAATTTTAAAAGAACTGATGAAAAATAATTCAAGAAAGGCTCTCGCCACTTACCTAGATTTAGGCCAAAGCGTTCGACTGTGGGCTGAGTGCTTATTGGAAACTTTCACGATGCCTGACATGTTCATCTTTGGTTATGGACATATCATCGACTTCGTTATTCTACATGAGAGGGAAGAAGCAGACATAGACAGAAGGAAGAAAACAACCATGAAGTTTTAACCTGTGGAGAATCAAAATGGAGATCTAATAACTGACAAAGGAACACTTATAATGTAAAATGAATATTTTGTTTGACATAGTTTTTTTCAAACTATCTTATTGGAAACTTGCAACTGGCACTTCTTCTATTACAAATAACTTTCGTAGACATTCGGTTACTTTAGAATAATGTGCTTAAAAATTCGCTTCCTAAATATGTTTTATAACATAAGGTTTCCTTGCAACTCAGATGTTAACAGCTCATTCATAACTAGACTTTTAATATAAGCTGTAGTTCCAATACAAGTTGAGTAAACGTTTCTAATATCACAAACCTTATGTAAAGAATTATACTCGTGGTTTGCCGCGAAAAAATGAACATGAACAAACAAGAAATGCTTTGAAATTTTAGTATCTAATGACATAATTCAGTAGACAAGTACAACCACAAGACCAAGCGATTTATCTTCGCTTGTTAGCTGAACAGAAGATTACTTAAAAAAAAGCCAGAACTCGAAATGACAGTACTTTAAACCTGAATAAAAGCTGTTATGGGAAGCTATGTTTCAGCTAAAGTCTGAGTTCCAGTAACCAGCTAAGTTCTAATTAATTTTTAAAGTTGAAATGCAAAAAGAATAGCAAACCTTGGATGCCCTTTCTAGTCTAAGCTTCATTTTCCGCCTTTTTCAACACGCGCCAAGATTATTGAGGCAATGGCTTTAAAATAGAAGTCAGGCATTCTAAATATTTATAACTTTCCACAGCATTTCGTATCTTTAGCTGGCATTTTTAAAATCATTTTCGAAACCGTTTTGTTGCCTCTAACTTGCTGACGAGAGAAAGAAAATTTTCGCGCCACGAATCAAGATTCATCCCCAGGCCTCTGCAATTGAAGGCGCAATCGTCATTTACAGGACTATCTAAGACAGTGTTTTTCAACCTTTCTTGATCCACAGCACACTCTTCAAAGAAAAGCCACGGGGCACACCACCCACAGACAATGCTAAAAATTATACTTTTTAGCCTGTATCTTAACAATAAAAATATCTTCATCGAATAATCTTGAATAGGAATCGAATAAACACAAATAAAAAGTATTTTATAATATAATACAATATTTGTTCACACAGTGTTAAACATAGGACTGTTTTGATAAACACACAACAGTTTTTAGACCAATTAGGTGAAATTAGAGGAATTTCCACCGGACACCAGACAATACCGCACAACACACTAATGTGCCGCGGCACAGAGGGAGTGAAACTCTTCCGAAGGGTGCCGAATTTTAATTTTTTTTCACTAGAAGTGGCGTTCATTTATGACTTCGCTAAACTTTTCTCCCACTCTGTGAAACCTGGTACGATATTGTCAAAATTTAGTGAGATGTGATAAACGCAACATTTTAGAACACTTTAAATCCTCTTCGATTGTTCCATTCACATTTACACCATTGATGCTATATTCGCTGACAATATGTTCATGGCATGAACACACTAACGCAGTTATTTCAAAGGAAATACCAATTCTTTGAAAAAATAGCAGACTCGTTTAGCACTGTGAGAATTCAGTACAATAATACAATGAAAGAATTTATGGGCTGCAATCCTGTGCACTCACCATCGTTTAAAAGACCCCGTTATCAATTTGCATTACCAGCTGTGACGAAATGGAAATTCTAACTGACGATGTAACACTTAGCGATAAAAGCAAGAATTACAAAAAACCACAAGCTTGGCATAATCTTGGAAAAATTCATTTTCAGTTGAAGGTCAGTGAAAAATGTCTGGGATGCCTGCTCAATGGCAAGAATCAAAAGAAAAGCTTTTCAAAAATGCTACAGGTTTAATGCTAGCAGCTGTAAGGTATGCCTGTAGTAAAAAATCAATAGAATGGCATACCGGACATGTCTCATCCTTGATAAAGGATAAAAAGCATAATGATAATTTAGAAGTTATTCTCAAAATGTGTGAATCCAAGGAATAGGTTCTTTGGGAACAAAAGAGCCAAATTTGGCAGAGATTTTCAGGGAGCGACAATTTCAGAAGATCAGCAATGGCTAACGGAAGTATAACTTGGCGCTTAATTTCAAAATATCTGAAAACACCATAAAAAGCATTACTGGTAGTCAGCACTCACTAGGCAAAGGCTCACAAACTGAGGGAATTACTACTAGCTGGGTTTCAAGATTGATACACGAGGAGTTCACCCGAAGAGTGATCGCCATCACATAAATGTGCGGAAAATTATCAACAAACTTGTCAATTTTTTGTTCGCTTTACCTAACAAACAAACTTGGAAAGGAGCAACTAACTCCAAAAATTAGACGCACCGGACAAATAATAATATCCATTCATACAGAGAGGCCAGATCACCTGTTTTCACAATACTCCAAGATCAAGTTTTATTACAAATAGTTGCGCGGCAACTTAGACATTAGGAGGCAGTGATGGAAATTCATTTTTAGGCGGGAGTGCAATGCCTACTTTTGTAATGCCTACAAGCAAATTTGCTGACAAATGACATAATTTACCGACAAAAGCGTGTCTTATCTGATAATCTATAAAAACCTTGGGACACTCCCCCCATACCCCCGCGATTTCCGCCACTGATAGAAGGGGGTCAGGTTTTTCCAAAAATTTAAGAAAAGAAAATAGCAGCGAGAAACTGGAATGAGTCCGATTATATATTTATTACTGTAGTAAAAATTGACAATAATTGAAAATACTCCAATATCCATATTGTATGATGTCCTTGATCATACATTATTGCTGGGTAGGAAATTTAGGCTAGGGTGCAGTTTGCTTCGATTTCTTCTTCTGTTCAAAATCTTCTCTCTTCTTCTTTAACTTCGATTTCTGCAAAACACAAAAACACAATGGGCTTCAAATCTTATATTTGGATTGTAAATGTTGATAAAAAAACTGTTCTGAAAGGATGGCTTCTATAATTCTTGTTGCAAGGTTAATGTAATGGTGGGTCATTTCGGAAATTGGGAAATTCAGTTTTAGCCATTCTACTTCAAAAGAAACCTGGGGAATACTCTTTAAACGAAACAATGCGAAGGCGCACGATCACGAACATCGTTCCAGTGGAGATGGTAAATTAATGAAAAGGTCGCTTGACCTCTGGGGATTTCAATAGGTCAAAGAGAGGTAAATTTTCGTTGTCAAAACATTAAGTTCATGTACATGTGGAATTCCGACATCGAGTGATGATCATCTATTATTAATACACCAATTTAATGAATTTTACAAAAATTCAAACTCAAAATTTTGCAAAGCATATAGTTAAAACTGTACAGACAATTTGAATTCAGCGTCAGGCTGATTAGGTAACTACGTAAAGGGAATAGAGCAAAGACATCCTTGGCTCTTGAAGTGCATCTCATTTTATTCCGATATCCAAATAATAGTGGTAATTCATAATTTTGTTGGAAATTATTGTATCTACAAATTGTCCTACTGGTGTAACGGTTGAAGAAGAGCAACATTTTCAATTTATCAACGAAATGGACCGATTCCGTGATAATTTTCTTCACTATACCGATTTGTCATCATATAGTATCAGTCGTATAAGAGCCTGTAGTCTGTATGAAAAAAGAAACAAATCAAACATATCGATCTATAACGAGGATATTCTGGCTATTATCAGTCGGATGAGTAATGCCTTAATCTGCTCAAGTGAATCTGTCCAGTTTACGTCATCATGAAATAAGTATAAATGACACTCTAACAGAAGCAAAAGGAGACTTCTTGAAGTTTTGGTGCTAATTCAGAATCTTGAAATTTTAATTAATTAACTAAAACCGTTTAAAAATTTTCCTAAAATGAAACAATTATCCGATTTATTGTTTTTGTGGACGTTTTTACCTACAGCCCAACTATACTGCTTGGGAAACATATACAAAAAAGTGCCTGCCTGAAAATTTAATTCGTTAGTTTGTTGGATATTTCTCGATTGATTAATCGAGAATTTGGTTATGTGTCCGAAAATGCTCCTTTCAAAAAAAGGGAATATCTTAATACGAATTTATTAAATGAGGTGAATTGAAGCCAAATTTAAATCCTGATGTAATGACCAGGTGTCATGCTGATAATTTCTACTTTTGTCGTATTTAATAAGGACGTGGTCACGGGACACAGGAAGCTAATTACAAAGCAGTAAAAGATGCTGTTTTCATAAACGAATACACTTCTGACCTCATACGTGCATGCTATATTCAATACATTGAATATAAGGTATAGGCTTGACTTGAAACTTGAGACGGCAATAAGGATCTTTAAAAATTCTACAGAGGGGTATGGAGACCTTACATACGATCCATTTCAAACCAAAGATAAAATAAAGTTTTTTGCTCGGTAACTCTCAATAGCAAGCAAGTTTCCCATTGATAATATCATCTATCCAATCATGAGAAAATCAAAACACAATCAAACACAATCAAAAACCCACTGCGGCTGCCTTTAAATAAAAATATTGATTCAGATCTTAATGCTTGAGAAAATTATTCGCGAAATGTTCGGATGGTAGAGAACGGTTTCTGCGTTCATCAGAAACTGATCTTAAGATACCGCTGCTAAAAACGATAAATGGCCAAAAGGCTTTTTCTTATCGCGGTCCAAAACTGTGGAACGGTCTAGAAAGGGCTACTAAATTGGCCCCCTCCCTGAAAACCTTCAAAGAACAGCTATAGTCGGGGACAACTTTTATTTCATTTTTACGTTCTCTTTTTATATTGTAAATTAGGTTAGGTTAGGAAATTTTTTTTGTTATTAGTATTAGTGCTTATTTTAATCTTTTAAACAGGTCAGGTTGAAAAACATATATATGTATGAACCTTTAACCTGTATAAATATTATAAAATGAAATGACAAAATGATGAGCTGAGGGCAAAGTTAATGAGGGTTGAGAGATTGAGACAAATAATTGAAAAAAACCAACCTCTTTGGCTTTCTGTTTTTTGGAATATAAAATCTTATCGTACAGCTTTCTCTTTTTCGTTGGCATCATCATTACGGCCAACTTCTTCTCTTCTGACGTCATGTCGTCCCCTTTGCGTTTAAGTGGTTTTTCCTCTGCAAATCAGGAGGGCGTTAGGTTATTATGTGGCCGTAGAAGAAACTAATTTGATTAATTTTCTATCAAAAGAAATTGAGTAAACTGTTGCAAAAATATGAGGCAGAAATTAAGATTTTAAAAAGAGACGAATTTTAATACCTAAGTCAAAAAAATAGAAAATTGGATGATCATTAGAATTTCCGGTGACAAACAGAAGCATAACAATGAAAGAGTTAAAACTTTATTTCTGATAGCAAGCATCTGAAAAAATTGAAATTTCTTGTTATATCAGTTCCTTTAACGCTAATTTTCAATATTAAAGTTCAAATGCACACAATGGTTTGCTACCTTCGTCATTCTTCTTTCCGCTCTTAGCATTTTCTTCGCGAAGAATTTTCTTTTCCATAGCAATCACTTCTTGCCTTTCCGGTGGGACATAATCTTCCTCGGTTTCCTCTACGAACGGTGAGAGATGAGGTGGAAGCGTCGATCCAGGCATGTAGTCATCGATCGGAAGAATCTTTCTTGCATTAACACAATCAAAAACCCACTGCGGCTGTACGTAATGCCTTTAAATTAAAATATTGATTCAGATCTTAATGCTTGTACACAAGATTTGTGAGTAATGAAGAATAGTTTCACTTCATTCGCGTCTTGATGAATAGTGACCGAGAAAGAGTGACAAGTTCAGTGGCGGACACTTGGGGGGCAAGGGGGGCGATCGCCCCCCCCCAATACTTTAGAGAACAGTGGTCTTTTGTTCTAAAAGAATGGGAAATGTGACGTCATCTTATTAAAACAATAGGCTTGCCCCCCAATATTTGACCAAGTGTCCGCCCCTGGACAAGTTGTCTAACAATTCGAAACAAAAATGCGTTTTGCTGGATATTTTTTGTGATGCAGAACAAAATGATATGGAAATTGATTTTTAAAGGTATTTATATTCAAAGTCATCTTTTGTGTCAGATGATAATGTTGCCACGAAGACGTAGAGACTACTTTCTTATTTTGTTCCATATTAACAAAGTTGCAACGAAAAGAGTGCCTGGAAAAAGAATTTAACTGCCACGAAAAATATTCCAGTCTCTAAAAAGTCCAGATTTCAACAAGCCAGATTTCATTATAGTGGAAAGGAAGTCTTGCGAATGTATATGATCTTACCACATGGCAAGCAAAAACATGAAATTTATAGCACTAAAGTCAATTGCAAAATAGGAATTTTTCCTTCAATGACACAGCATGAAGCACGATTGATCTCTTCGATTTATACATGAATGCTTAACGCGAGAAATGAAACTAACGAAATGACACAAACAATATCATCCCAAGCACTTTCACCGTCAAGTACTGCAGATTTTGAGAAAAATGCTGGACCAGCTTTGAGGAAGAAAGTTGTAGGAAGAGAGCCGACCTAAATGTTATACGTAAACAGGAATGTTTTGAAGCACATATTTAACTATCCTGCAACTGTCTACGGGCAAGGCAAGATGAAAACGTATTTGTCACCAATACGCTTTTGGCTTCTTCAAATAAAAGATTGCTTTCCTATCACAGAGAATTTTAAGTTGTGAGCGAGGTTCGAAAAGAAAGGATTCTGTGTACTCCTTGCTTTGCAATTGGTGAGCAAACCTTTGTTCTAACAAAAAGGTATTTTCCTAACGAAAAGTATTTTCGACAAACTTGGAGTGCAGACAACGTGTAAGCTCCTATAGTTAATACGCTTCATAGGGGCTCAGCTCAACAAGTACTTCGTTATTGAAAATTAACTCAATGAAGTTGGATAGACTGAAGGTGTTACCATAGCATAAAATCCCATAAAAAAACAAGCATGACTCAAGATCGTCTGAGTCATTCATTAAGATGCAAACTCCTTTGGGTAAGCTTTTCCCCAAGAAGTTACTTTCGATGTTGAACTAAAAAATGCTAAACAAAAAAATCAAATAGGCGTGAGTAGTAACTTGTGGCTTACAAAAGTAACTTCGCAAAATATACATTTGCAATGGCAAAAATTCTTTACGTCCCAATTACCTGAAAACGACCTGACAAAATATTAAATAAAAACCAGACAGATAATTGAAGCAACGGTTTGTATGTTAACCAAAATCTTATAAGGCGTTTATCGCCATCTCACAGTGGTTCCAGCTCTTTAAAAATATGCCACAAAGATGCTAATTTTTCGATTCCCTAAAGAAAATAAAACAAACAGCAAGACCAAGGAGAAATATTCTTAACAAACAATTTTTCTCGTTAACACATTGTCACTTTCCGTTAGAAGATTATCTCTTTCCTCATTACTTAAGGTTTCCTCAGTTTCAGTTCTTGATTAAGTAAATTTGAATCACTATGTAATTTCGTTCAAACCTACTTTGTTACAAGCGTACAGTGTACCAGGTAAAAGTACTAAAAGCTCTTTTCCGAATCATTTGTGTCCTTGAATACATTAAAAACATGCGCTGATTTGAGGGCTGTCAGTGTTTTACCTTTCACAAGGAAGTAAGCGTTTCCTTCGAAAGCAAGATAAAATTCTCGGCCGCATTAGCATGTTACGTTTCTTTACATAACGAGATTTCTTGACTAAACAGGACAGAATTTGACTCATTAAGACGATTAAAAAATTGAAGACGATCGGAGAGTGACAGCTGATTGATCTGGTCTGACATTCTTGATGACATCCTGGATACAAATGTCACTTACCTGGACAAGTATGTCTTTTTTGGCAAAGGCCTGTCCATTATCTGCATAGTGATTGACTGATCGCCTTCCTTATATGGAGCACCGTGGCCAGAAATAGGATCCCATGAAACTTCTCCGCCAAATGACCTAAAAATTGATAGCGAAAATTACTAATATCAACATTCATAGAGATGGAAACTAAGGTAATATTTGCTGCTAAAATAGAAATGCAAACAGATTTGTCTGCAAAAGATTCATATGCAGCGAGATAATAGCATGCAAACTGAGAAAAACTTTTTGGGCAAATTGAAACAACAAAATATCCATACGCTTTGGCTTGCACAAGTCCAATGCAAAAGTGGTTAGCTCAACACTTATCATTTTTACAGAGCCTTTTACTCAAAAGATGGATCAGCAATTTCCCAGTTTGGGAATCTCTGTGACAGGGACCAAATACTTCTGAAATGCAAAATGACCAACAAAACAAGACAGGGAAAATTTGCAGCGAAAGAAAAACGTTCATAGATTCTGATAGATTAAAAGAGAAACGTCTTGCTTATTGTGAATTGTTGTAGAATGGACATGAGTCATATAAGATAACGTTCACAGAATGAAATTATGGCAAATATGGTTTGCTTTGGGAAAAAGTGTTACAAGCTACGGTCACCAATTAATAACAGTTGGTTAGTTGATGGTCACCGCGAATGTTTGAGGTAGGAAAAGAAACACAAAAAATAAATTATCTCAGCGTGAACAACAAGGCAAACTTAAATCATAATGCGTATAAATATCTGAAGTGTTGACAGTTGGCGATTTCTATCAATGAAGAACAAGAAAAACGGTGGTTGGTGCGGTTTTGGACAAGAAGCAAAACGTGCAAGTCAAAAGGTGAAATACAAAAGCCATAATAATCATAATACCAACAAGAGGAATAATGCTAACGATATAGTTAGAATGGTTATATAGATTCGACGTCCGCTATAACGAACACACATGGGCCAAACTCTTGCTCTTTTTGGGGAAATATTCACTTTTTCGTCATACGTTGTACCCAGGGGCGGACACTTGGTCAAATATTGGGAGGGGGGCAAGCCTATTGTTTTAATAAGATGACATCGTATTTCCCATTGTTTTGGAATGAAAAACCATTGTCCTCTAAAGTATTAGGGGGGCGGTCGCCCCCCCCCTTGCCCCCCAGGTGTCCGCCACTGGCTTGTACCCTCTGCTTTTGGGGCATAATCTTTTAATTTCGGCATTTATAACGTACGTATACAACCGTGGGGGAAAAGGCATTCGTTTATAAACCTTCAAAGGCAAGTACAAAGAAGCTCACAATACTTCCTGTATCTTAATGTTTAGTAGATAACCTCCAATATGAAAGGGGTTTGTAAAAACAGTTAAAAGATACAATGAAAAAATCATGGAAAGGCCAATGCTTTTGGGTTTTTTCAACTCTCTTTTCCGATATATAACAACACTTTGAAAACGTAGCTCGAAAATCAGAAATCTGAAGCAGTTTTTAATTGGATTTGTAACCAAAATTACCTGACTATAAAAGTGAGTGGCTCGCGAGGGACTTCTCTCGAAATGAAAATTTTCTGGTCAGAAAACAAATTGTTAAATGCTTCCAGCTCCTCTCTCTCCTTTCTGAATGCCTGTTCTTGCTCTGCTTCTTTCGACTGAAAAAAATGAATAAAATTAACATCAGAAGCTGAATATGATTACGATTGATGTAATAAATTTCCTACAGAGCAATTTTTAATAAAATTCATCAATACATGAAATACTCCAGTCCAACAATCTAAACAAACTAATCACTACGTTTACAATAACCAATCACAATTACAAAATATTACAATCAATCAATGCACCATGTAATCAGCCATTTCCAATGGACCAATCAAGTAATCGTTCGCTCACTACTCTTTGCAAGAATGTGAGAACCCTTGAATCTGGCCTTTCAGCACATAATCAATATCTGGCCGTTCGTAATTAATTAGAAAGGATTAAAAAGAGTCTTTCAAAATTCTTTGCATTATCTTCGAAATTTCCAAGGTGCCTCAGTATTTTTTGAACGTAAGTGTACTTCAGAAGAATTTGACAATTCAAGACACGTTTAAGGCAGCTTGATTCTGACTTCTTCAATAAAAGCCTATAACATGAATAACTATCAAGATGCAATTTTACACGAAGTAGTTTGGTTAAATACGATTGGGGTTTCACACCAAATACATGAATACTCCTACATTGATAAATAAATGTTTTTGAATATATTTCAGATACGGTTCTGCGCTTTGAAGACACTATTTCCAATTCAATAACTCCTTGTTGCCAAGGCGATAAACTATACCTCAATCACAGAAACACGCATTTCAAAACGTCAGAGTACAATTGCAGAGTTTTATCAAAAACGTAAACAATATCTAATATCTTAAAAACTAGTGGACCCGTTCGGAAGTTTTGATAAGAACAACAGCAAATCATGAAATTTTAATGACCGTGAAATATTAAACGTCTGTTATATACAAATAGCAAATTCTTTAATCTACAAACTCGCCTGAAGCAAACATTTTACTTCAATAAAATCTTACTATTCTAAAAGACAACTGATCAACGAAATTCTGAATCGTCAGTTACCAGAACAGTTATATCAAAATTTGCATTGTAGTTCAGTTTAAAAACTGGAAATTAATAAAATCATCTTTATCGCCATACTTCAAATTAAAAAAAGGTTTGGTGATGGTGCGATAAAATGAAATGACATTGAAATCGCATCACATTGAAATGCTTCTTCTTCAAAGTTAAAACGTCTGATAATGGACAAGCTCAAGCTGCCACAACCTTCTGTTATTATTTCTATTCACGAACATAGCATATCAACACGTGCGAAAAGTTCACTCCATAGAATCCACCTCTGCAAAGCAAGTAATTACGTAGGAATCTGATACTAAACGACCTTTGAGACACTCGGTTTCAACACGAGACAAACACCTCTTGCAAAATTACTCTTTATAAATAACATTTTTAAAAATAAACCCATGTTCAAAACTGGTACCAATGAACTCGAAATTTTGAAAACCTGTTTGTCTTAACAGGGTTTGTGGAAACCTAGCTGGTTTCGTCAGGAAATAGTCATACATTTATGACCATCAGAACAAAGATACAGGCTTGATCAAATACTCCAAAATCAGTTTACCAGTTTTGTAATGAATGAATTTTGACACATTAAATTCGGCATTAATTTTAATAGGTCGATTTATTTCACACCATGATGAAAGACGGCTTTGAGGAAAATATTAAATTTGAGTTCGACACATCATGACATGTACATGATATATCTTAACGCTACACAAGTTATTATTCGTTCAAAACGTTAACGAGTAGTTGCAAAAGAATTTATACACAGGAAATAAAAGGAAACTGAAGCTAAGCATTACAAAATCAGCATCAATGAAAATTTAAAATCATCTAGGCCAGTTTACTTTGAAACAGCCTGGAATGACCTTAAAATTGTATCCTAAATTAAATTAAACGATGAATGACGGAAATTGCAACCAACATCCAAAAAAAGAAACGAAAATTCAATTAGGCTTACTTAGTGTAGGATAAAAGACCAACACTGTTTTAATGAAAGGTGAAACCAAACAGAAAGCCTTTCGATCATTAAAAAGCTTGAGGGGAGGTAGCAATTCGTCTTTATTTTCATCCACCACGATGACAGCTCTCATATATCAAAGGCTTGGTGATGACGTTATAAAATCTATTTTCATAATTTATAATATTTACCAATATAATCTGAAAGAACATTTAAATATTTTATATATACTTGAGAGAAAACAGTTGATCAAATCATCTCATCAAACCAGAGCACTTTGGCCTTGGCTCCAAATCATATAAACCAAGTCGATTTAAGAAAATTAATGTGTCTCTTTGGCAATATTGCAACTACTTGGTGGCAGATTTAACTGATTGTACACATTTAGATTTAACCGATTGTACACATATGGGGTTTTTCAGTTATGGTGCCAATCCACGAAATTTCAAAAAACTTCGTCACCAAGCCACTTTATCAACCTATTCTATAGGGAAGGGTGTATAAAAATTTTCAGTACGAGAACTATTGAAACTGTGAGCTGAGACCACTTATGTTTAATTTTTCAAAGGTAAAAGTATTAGGCCAGTTTCCGTATAATCAGGCCACTTTCTATACCTGAATTGAAGGCAAGACTTTGAAAAACACATGTCTAGAAATGATCAGAAGTAAGCTCTTACGGGCGGCACGTCCCCGCAATAATCCTACTAACTCTCCCCTTCCGAGTATTGACCTTGACAAGCAAATTTTCTGCAACGATTCTCAGAGAAACTAAAAAGGCTTATCAAAAAAAAAATTCCAAATACTTACACCTGCCTCGGATGTAAACTCGTCGATCGTTGCCTCGTCTTCGTGATCTAAACCATTCGAAAAAGAAAGAATAAGATGAGCAGAAGCAAAGAGCAAAATCATTGAATTAAATGCTATGTTTGGAGAAGGTGAGGGAAAGGTAGATGGCTTAGTTGCTCTTGCAAGCCCAATAACTGAAGATTTCTTCAATTTTTCTATTGATTTTGAAACATATGATCTTGATCTCTTAGAGCTGTTGAGGATAATCACGAAGTAGAGCTCAATTTTAAGAAACCTTAAGAAATGCTAAGGTCTTAAAACGCGCAGTTTGTGCTCATTAAAATCATTAAAATCAAATCGATTTGGTTACATCTTAGAAAAGATCTTTTCAAACTAACTATATTTGAAACTGTAGCATATTGTAGTAAATCAAGGATCATACAGTTGTTAATAATGGAATCGTTAGAGAACAGATTGAAATTTCGCACACTTGATTTCACTGGAAGACGGCACCAAAGGGTGGGGAGGGCAAGAGGCAGGGCTCCTGCACTTTTAAGCGTAAGATTTATTGCGTTGCAAATTCATGAAAAAACTGTTGTCTTTTTGCTCCTCAACTCTGAAAGGTGCAGCCTAGTACTGTGGTTCACCCTTTAGCAAACGCATACAATTGAGGATTTACCTTGTGCGAGAGTTGCCAATGTGTTTGTTAAAGCAGCGAGTTTCTGTGGATATGGACAATATTAATTAAGTACTGTTATGTTTTCAAAACAAGTAAGACCAAACTCAAAAAATGACATCTAATGACATCAAAGTTTTTCTTTAGACTCATGGTCTAAACCTAACCAAAAAAGAGAACTGGAAATCCAGACCTCGTGAAACTGGGGTTTTAGCAATTAAAATTAAGCAAGGAAGTGAGAAAATTATTTGAAACAAGGAGAGTTCTTAAAGTCATTGTTCCAATGATTGATGATTGATAACGATGAACAATAAGTAATGAATAACGAATAATGAAAAATGAATAAGATAATAATGATTGGTGACAAACTCAACTTACTTCATCTTCCATTTCAACATCATCACAGAATCCTGTATCTTCAGCCAAATTCGGATTGACTACCAGCTGAAAAACAAAAATTTCTCAGGAAAAGGAAATGTAAGAGGAACCTTCAAGCAGAAATCACAATTTTTCGTTTCTTTTTTAACTTTCATTTGGAATCAATATCAAAAGCATTAAAAAGACACGCAGGAAGTGTAAAATTACTCGAAACGAAATTGTAAAATCATCTCGAAAATGATTGACCTTGTGAACTTCGCCAGAATCGTAAACACGAGTTAATTTTGTTTCGAAGGAAATGGATTGTATAGGGATGCAATCAGGAAACACAACTATTCCTATAGGTTACGACAAAGCCAATAGCCTCAAGATATCATCATGCTAGAAGACATCAATCCTCCATTCTAAACGATTTTCCATACAGGAATTTCTCCACTTATTCTAAATAGCTTCCTTTAAACTTCACTTGGAGCCAAATTCTTCATTAGCTTTCAAAATAAATCGTTGACCAATCACATTTTAATTCTCTTTCTTCACTACTTTGAAAACCAATCGACAGCATATTTTACATTACTAGAGTCATTTTAATGTGGTCTATGTGACATTAAGAAATTTTAACAAAGTATACTAAAAATAGATAGAAGTCAATTGAAATACATTTACTAAGAACAGAAACAAAAAGGAGAAGCTAACCTTTGGTGGGTAATGAATATTCATCGAGTGGTAGAGGTGAAAATTAATGAAGCCAAGAAGGGTCGTGTAAAACTCTAGGAATGTGAGCATTACTCTGAAGTCAACATCTGAGGGTGGCTAAAATAGAGGAAACACTTTCGCAATACAATCATGCAGATCATGGTTCATTTTTCATGGGACAAAAATAAAAATATTCTAAAAAGTACATTGTCGTATATTTTGAACTTTTTATAAACTGCTTTGTTTATGTTGTCTAGGGTGGTGATTGATAAAAAGGACTTAAACAAAAAAGGCAAAAAACTACTTTGCTACTTCGTCGAAAATTAGACAATCTGCATAAAGATTATTTCGTGAAAGTTACGGAAGTGCTATAGCTATAACATTGGCCAACAGTTATTAAAACGAGGCGAAAATGGTGGCAAAACAGGGAAAAACCCAAGACCCCCCCCTCCCCCTCCCAATACAACGACTGTATACTTCTTCAGCCCAATTTTTCATTTCTCACCACAAAAACGTAAATGTAAAAAACTACAAAGGAAGCAGCTTTAAAAACAATAGTTGGAAAGATTGTATGGCGAGAAAATAGATACAACCAATATAAAATATGAATATCAACATTTTCTAACAAAAATAACTAACTTCATATGTATATTGGTGAGGAACAATCCATGTCACAGGCTGGCCTTGAATTTCGACTTGGTAGTATATCCCTTTGATTGATATGAACACCTTAAACAGGATGAACGTTTGTCATATCACAGGTTGGAACTACATATCACATATCATATCACAGAAATTTACTTTCATATCACAAGCTGGAACATAAACCTCAACATGCACTGATATTTAGTTGCCCCCAGCTCTTTCTTACCAAAACTATCAGGCCTTTTCTTTAAGAAATTTCCACAGAGGTGAGGAACTGCCCAAGTGGAGGAGCTTACAAAGGCGATCACCGATCCAACAATAATTTTTTAAGGAGAGGTCCTCCAGCGCTGGAGCCCGACCCTTTGATTTTCTAAATGCGTGATCACCACCAATATTAAAAAAACTATTTGTTGAAACATGGATAGCATTCATTCAGGAAAATTGTCATTTACAGGAACAAACTTCACCGTAAACGTATTTCCTGTCCCTTGTCCCATAACATGTTTTTGCTGTCAATAGCCTGCGCCAATAATATGGTGAGGGTGTAGGTGGGGGCGATCGCCCGCGTAAAACGAAAAGGCCTGAGAACTATGCGCTGAATAGTTATGCACAAAAAGTCATATAAATGCAGTCAGCCTTCTAAAATAAGGGTGAATTGACTTTTCCCCAGGGTTGCATAGAGCCAAACCAAAACTGCAGCATCTGTTCCATGGCCTTTCTGCAGGTTGTTGGCATAAAACACATTAGGTAACATCAAAGTTAACAAACATTCTCTAAAATCTTACACAAATAAAAAAGTATCGCATATTCAATCAGATAACAAGTAAACAAGTTGATGTACGAATAGCAGAGGTTTCGGAGAAAAAACAAATATTAAGAGGTTTCCATTAATAAGTATAAAACAAAATCAGATTGAGCGAAATTACCTTTCTTAGAGATTTTGAAGCAATGACATAATTCTGAAATTCAGCTGCAAAATATGATAATCATCAGGATGAGTAGGCACACAATTTCCAGCAAGAAGAATTGCTTTTATCATAGAAGCGATTCAAAGCTTGCATCATTAAAAAGATTGTTGCTCCTTTTTGTTCATCAACAAAGTTTCAATCATTGTGTAAAATAAATGAGTAATTTCAACATTATTTTGATCAATGTTGGAGTAAGACTCCATTCACTTATTTTTGAGCAATGATTCAAAGCATTTAGTACAAATAGCTAGTGCAATAACATGATTAATTACCATAACCCTAAGGATCGTGTGATATGAAAACAACAACAACTCAATCGTGGAAAGGTTTAGGAAAGCCAACTTTTGACTATAAATTTCTCTTATTCAGTGTTCAAATCTAATGTTCTTGAACGAAGCATTATTTTAAAATAACTTTCAGCATGCTAATGAATATCTACTTTGCTCTTTGCAAGGTGGCATGACATGTCTGTGAAATTTACAAACAACATGCCCGCTAAAAATCTTAAAACAATGACCGCATACCTTATACCCATCCAATCAATTGCAAAACTTGATTTAAAGGTCAAATGATACAAATTTAAAAGAGTACAAGCTATCCAACATGATAAAAATTAAACAAATCCATAATGAATAAATGAAATTGGGTAGCATATTTCATCATTATCCAAGACTCTAAGGAGAATGATTCATAGAGATTTGAAACTACAACAAACCTGACAATCTCCTGCACATCTTTATCATATTTGTCTACACAGGGAAATAATAAATATATCAATCAAAAATAAATTTTAATACATAAAAATGGTCAATACACAACAGCTGTTTTATTTTACACAAAAAAGTTGAATTCAAGTTAAAACCATCTTCAAAATTTAAATGCATACTGCTAAATTTTGTAACTTTATCACTACTTATGAATATAAAAAACACCCAGGACATCCTTATTCGACACACCCTTTTTGCTTTCCAGCCTTGTGTATTAAGAAACTATAAGGTTCCAATCTGGTGTATCCAGTGGTAATTCCTCTATAGGCATGCATCACTGATTGGACAACTATGCCGGTCATGTGCTTGCACTTGTCCATTGTGGGTATATATATGCTTGCACAGGTATATATTTTCCATTGTGCTCTTTCGGACCCTTATTCTGATGTTTTATACTCTGAACAGTGTCAGACAAGAAAGCTTTTAGTAGTATATTGTGAAATGTTTGCTTTTTGCAAAGTCATTTTTGAACCACAAGGTGTAAGCAACAGAGCTCATTGCAGAGAAAGTATATTTTATACAGTTGTATATTATGTAATAAACAATTTTTCAATCCTGAGAATCCAGCCTCATGTGCATGTTTCCAATCTGAAGGGATTGCTAACCATTCATCCCCTTTATTATTATTTGGGAAATTTTTCACACACTTCGTTTATTCCAGACCCCTGTCTGTCTCCAGACTCTAGACTATATACTATCTATATTTTGAAAAAAAATGGAGGCAAATTGTTGGATATGATAATCTATAAAATCATACTTAAATAAATAGGAAAGTAAGTACCTTAATCTTATAAGTCTGTGGCAACATAGCAAAAAGGCAAACCATTGACAAAACATCATCCAAATCTCTAACTGCATCTATAAACGTGGGGTACCTAAAGAAAAAAGTGGAAGCAGGATAAAAACCAAAACAGGCTTTGCACAACCTAGAATCAGTCTTTGATACAACTAAACTTGCAATGTAACACCTTTAAGTTGTTAAAAAACAACCAGAGGATATTATTGCTTGAGCTCTAACGCAAGTTTGGCTTTTTTTGTCTACTTAGGTTGTTGGGCTTGGTCAAAGTAAGTATCAACATTAAATCGTCAGTTTTGAACAAAATTGGTTCACATATCACCTTGTTAAAGAGCCTTAACATAAATCTCCAAGAAGAGCCATGTCTTCTTTACATAGTGTCATATTTTGTTGTGCATAAGACGCACCTTTTTTAGAATTATTATTGGTTTGTTTGAGGGTGCCTCTTATACATGGTAACATTGATGGCCCCATCATTTTCTTTTGAAGGCATTTTCTAGACAAAATATTATGATCTTTGGAGCACCTGTTCTCTTAATTTGAATGATTACACTTTTACCAGAAAATTAATAAAAACTTTGAAATTCTCTTGCCCCGATAGAAAAGTATCTGACAAAAGCCCTTTTACTCCTAGATGAAAGGGTTGTACCCTGCATTCTCTTCCCTGGAGGGCACATCCCTGTAATCATTGTGAATGTTGTCAATGCAATGGATGAAGAACAAGAATTTTATGGATTTTAAAACCTGTAAACATTAATGATGATTTCAATTATTTCAATATGTTAAACTTTCTACTTGAAGATCTTGAGCGTAATAGTAACGTAATATTTGAAACATTGCAATTTGGACGAAATTTTCTCCGCAGAGTTAGTGTCTATGGTATTCTCAAATTTATTCTTCCACTGAAATAAACATGCTTTACAAGAACTGAGAAAAGGGGGTGCGTCTTACACACGGCAAGACACAGTAAAAACAAGTTTTTCAGAATTCAAACATGAAATTAAGGGTACGTCTTATGCAATGGTGTGTCTTATACACAGCAAAATAAGAAAGAGAGAGCCATAAGCTTTCTTCTGTTTCCAATGGTATCTCTTAAAACTGATCTTTGCTTGCTTGGTTTAATGATAACATTGTTGTAAAAAGCAATGAATTGCTCACCTTTCCTTTACAATGTGATCGAGGGAGTAAACTGGTTTGTTTTCTTCTAACTTTGCAGCTCTGCTGGTTTCATCTCTCCCTAATGCCTTTTTTAGCTTTCTTATAAAAACCTTGAACTCTCTGAATTTGTCCAAAACAGGTTCATGTAACAAATACTGAATATCCTTCACATAATAATAGGTTTTGTTTGCAGTACTTCCCTTGTTCACCTTCTTTTTGTTCTTTGGTTCCCTTGGATATATGCCTTTTAAAATGCAGAGGCGTCTGTGAAAATTGCAATATTAAAAAAAGGTTAGCATGCAAACACAATATAATAGATGCTAATACAATCTATTGTACAAGAGTAAGAGGATTTCAAAGAAAACAAAATTCCACAAAAGGAGGAAGAAATCCAAGAAATTTTTACAGTAATTTTTGAAAAGGGATAAATGATACAGGAATTTTTCAACTCACCTAAAATCAGGTAAACTCAGCTGCAGTTTTTTTAGTGCTTGATTCCTTGATACGTAATTTGTCACAGCTCCCCTCTCTCCCTAAAAAACAGGCAATACCTATTACTAAAAGACATATATTCACAAATGCTGGCATAGCATAACACTAATTTATGAGCATCACCTTTGTAAGTAACAAAATAAGTGGCTTATTCCTTAGATATAATGGAATTTGGATGCTGCAATTTACTTAATTCCTTGTTTCACTTTCACAGCAATTGTCTTATGGGAGGTCTTGAATTTGTAAACTTTCAAATTGCCTTCAACAATCTGAAAAGCAATTGTCTGTGATACATCATACTGTGGAGTACAAAGTTTGAAATATCCCTGATGGTTTCTTGTGATTGTGTTTAAACTTTTGATAAAAAAAATGGGTCTGAAATGATTTGTCTGAAAACATCTCAAACATGCTAAAAACGCAAAAAATCGGGTTTGGATTACAACAGTAGTTTATCATCTTTTGGTTGATTGTTGTTGGTTAGCATATTTTTTGCAATTCATAGTTCTTGAAATGATTACTTCTAAGCTATCTTTTTGGGAGTCCCAAGGTTCCAATGTTGTAAATGCTTAATTTATTCATATATTAACAGAACTTTCAACATTTTGATTTAATAATCAACATTTTAATTTGTCTCTAAAAATTCCTTTTTTTAAATTTCCTTAAATATGATTTACCCATTAAGTTTTTCTAATACATAAAGGGTTCTTTAAACAATATCCTTTGAACATTTTACTTCACCATCTGCACCTATTTTCTTTGACTTTAAGAACTCTTCCAGCTAAAATTGGCTATTACCATTTAAAGTATACTTAAAAAATTCTGTTGATTATTATAAATAATATCAGGAATATTCAAAAAATATCTTATTGTTGTAAACGAGAGGAAATGGCTCGAAAGCTCTTCCAGAGTTCTTTTCATGTGTCCTCTTCAACTTATATATTTGACTTACCCTATTGTATCAGTTCTGTATTAATTTATCAGATTATTACCTTTCGTTAAAACTTGATTAACGTTGTTAAAGTTGAGAATTTACATAAAAGTAATGATGGGAGAAGAGCTCTCTCCATGGGCAAGCAGGCAAGATTTATTATTGACCGACAGCGTTGAACGCGTTGGCCTAAGTTGTCGTTTCAAATGTAAATTCCATTGTTTAGTTGTGGATATAGTTAAACAAATCAGAAAAAGTCAACTGATTATGAATCAAGCTAAATAACAACCTTTCTCTTTTTCTGTCCCATTTTGATCAGCAACTTGTTAGTAGGCCACCGCACTCACGTGTATTTGATAAGCAGAAGTCGAACGTGAGAACTACAACAACAACTATATCATCAATGCGGGGGGCATAGAGGTAATTTGGAGGGAGGGATCGGTACTTCTTGTAGGGAAATCAAGTCAAATAGTTAACAGTTACACCCTTCATCAGAGTTCCCAAATTTTTAGAAGTCACTAGAGGGTCAGGTAAAAATTAATAAACGACGACAAAATTGTATTGAAAGACCCAGATTAGCAGAAGAAAACAAAATAAAATGTGAAAATTAATCGGAGACGTCATTCAACCGCCAAATAGAAGTGAAGCGATATCAGCTTTGCCAATGTCTGGGTACCAAATTGTAAGAGGAGCATTAAGATCTTTATTTTCGATGACTAAACATTAGTAATATTTTAATTTAGCTTGTTTTTTGGAGTAAAGTGTGCACAGAAGTTGAATATTGAAGCCTAAACAAGCCCACGGCAGGTTTTTTGGCGGGAACTGCGAAAAACCCAGAAAACGTTTTCTCCCTGTTTAGCGAACCCCTGAAATAACGAACTATTTTCTGGTTCCCTTCAGAGTTCGTTATATCGGGATTTTATTAAATATACGTTCCTTCGTGCGTATGGCAAGTCAGCTTTTGAGCTAACAGGCCACTACTGTAGGCTTAAAAACATGTAACACTATAATTTATACATTTATATAACGCTAAACAGATACATGTAACGCTATTATATATCAAATGAATATGATATATAATAATATTGTTCACATAAGTCAGAACATTACTAATCAACTGTTCTCATACTAATCAGAAGAATATATGAAACATACAAATCAGTAACATATGCAATATGTAAAATATAATATGCCATAGATATATCAGCTTTCCTTTCTAGCGGGCTTTCTTTTAATTTTCATTAGTTGAACCATGCTTGAACATGATAGTGTAGAAAAGGTCAAGATTCCATATCGACTCACCCAAGATATTAAAACTCTCCACTCTCTCTAAACTACGATTAGTAAGGAATTCCTTGACAAATAAAGCTGGGCACTCTCGCGTTAGAACACAGTGGTTTGCATGGAAAAATGTCGTTGGTTGTGACGATGGACCGTGTCAAACTAACACATAGCTAGCTGTATAATTTTGTTTCCTGAAAACTGATAAAGTGGCAGAAACCCTAGTAAATATGTTATGACCCTCAATGTATTCCATTATTCTCTCCACCAGATATTCCCTCCAGGCATATGGGGCATGGTATGATTACAGGCCAACACCATTTTGAACTGAGCTCTTCAGGAAAACATACACCTTGCCTTGTTTTATGAAAAATAATTATATGACAAAGATTTTTCAAGAAAACTCCCAATTCGATCATGTCTTTTGGAATTCTTCCACATTATTGTAGTGAATCATTCACAAAGTTTCTATTTTTAGTAATTTCAATCTTTTTAGTTGGGTTTTACTGATCTGCTTACATGTTTGTGTTTGTTTGATCTAAACCTAAATCTTCATAAACCTTATGTTTTGACAGTACAGAATAAGGTTAAAATTAAATTGATGATTGAGTTTCTGAGCAAAGACAGTAGTGCCACCACACCATAAAAACAATAAAATCTCAGCCAAAAACTTTGGCGTGAAAAATTGGAAGATCGAAAAGATTTCCAGCGGCAGGGCCTCAGAATTCGCTTTGAACTTGACTGGGTTGCCTCTCTGTTTCAGTCTAAAAATATTTGGCTTAAACAGACTAACAGACGCAAGACACTAACAATGAATATGTCATTTTACACTCCTGATATTGTGATATGAACTATCTAGTGTTATGAAGGCATATTGAATATTTGCAAGTAACTCTCAATTTAAAACCATAACCACGAAAAATGCATGCATTCAGATTTCCTTATCTAATGTAAGAAGCAAAAAATACATAGCAAAAGAAACGTTTCAAGGAACCGTAATTTTGAGCAAAGGAATGTAAGTTTCTATTAGCGATATTATTAGGTGAATATAATCGATAGCAACAAAGATATCGTTACGGGAATATGGACGTTTCGATTCGATTACGACACATCGTACCGAGATATGTTCTTTACGAGGGCATTACTTTGACAACACGGGAAGACCTAAGATGAGGCTTTATCACATCAAGTCGCTTTTTCTGAAGTATCTCGATACTGGGGGGACATTAAATAGACATCGGCACTATGGGGACAATGACATTACAACAATATTTTCTGAACTGGGACATTTACTTTACAGAAACATTGACAGAATTGAACACTGCACTTATGGCATTACGGAAAGATTCAGAATAAAAAACAATGCATGAGGCTCAGAGTGCCCAAATATAAGAAACACGAGGCTCAGAGTGCCCAAAAATTAAGAAACATTTTAAGGCTCGTATAAAGAACTAAACATTTTGTACAATGCGATAAAAACTTTGTCATAAACTTTCCTATAAGCAATAAAGCACGAAATACGAACAGAAATGAACCGCTTACTTACAGCATAGGATATTTGAAATTAAACTTTCTCTTGCGTAATCTAAACATCTTATTAAAACAAATCAGTGTCATTTCAAGTCGAGACTGGCAAAAATTTTATAAACACCGAGGGTGAACTCTTTGCGAGTGTCTTTTTATATAAAATAGTGTATTACCTTAACATTGTCGCATATTTACGGTTAATCCTTTTTTATCGCAAATCAGTGCAATAATCGCCATAATAAAGGCAGTTCACAGGTAATAGAGTGGCTTAAGCTACTACAAGGTTATATATTGGCCATTTGTAGACTGAAAGACCGCTTAAGCCACCTTAGTATCTATCCGTTGCCTGTAACAAGAATGGAACACTTCAATTGATTAAAACCTTTCAAAACTCACTAGCTATATGTTTGTATACGTGACAGTAACTCATTCTGTAAATCGTCTTTAAATCGATCGGCTTCAGCGGATTTAAATACATTAGCCGCAGTGGTTAGGAAATCTTTGGGGTCGTTTATTTTCGAAAGCATGAAGCTGACACAGCAAGTTGCCAAACGTCTTGCTTGGCAGGACACTGCCTCAATGTAAAGTCCTGCCACATTTTTATTAGATATGGAGCTCGTTAAATGACTTTCGCAGTCGTCTCGAAGGGCGTCTATCATAAACCGGTCACTCAATCGAAGCACGTCTGCGATCAGAAATAGCTTCTGCTTCCCTGTAAAATGCTGGGCAAAACAGTGAAATTTCTCCACCGATTTGCGATCCTTGTCCTTTGAAAGATGACCAGATATATTGCTATAAATTTTATCATTGTCACATTCTATAGAATCAATGCAGTCAGCTTCACCACCTTGCATTTTGAGTTGCGAATCCACGGTGGTACAACCAGGCATTGTTTTGACATCATGTTCTGAGATATGAATTTTCCCACAAAAATGGCAATTACCGCGACACTGCAATGTTTCAAAGTCTATGTCGCAACCATAAACATTGTGCAAGAGAATAACAAAACTTGTCGCATAGACGTCTTGTAACTCTACGTATGGCAGAGAAGAGTCGACAAAATTACTTGAAAGCATGGCAGCGAATACAGGCGACACGTTACATATTACTTCCTTGTCAACATAAATTCTTACATGTCCTTCCAAAGAGAAACAAGCGATTTCAAACTTTGATTTGTCATTCTCTATGGCATAATCAAGACTTGTTTCTGGACTTTGCATGCACATTTCTGGCGCTTCATACCTGCAAAATAACAACGACAAGACGCAGCAAGCATGTCTCCTGTCATCTTCACTGCATTTTTCAACCCTTGGTTTCTTTCTTGTGACGTCACATACTTCATCTTTATGACGACTCCTGCGCAGACCGTTCCTATTTACAGCCCGTTCGTACTTATCACTGAGATCGGTTGTGTTCCTTGAACAAGATACTATCTGCAATGAATCTGCTAATCCTTTACAAGCTAGAACTGCATTGCACAGTCTTGTGTAGTTGCTGGGCTGGTTTGATAACATATTCCCTATCATCTTTAGTCCTTTCAGATCAACGAATATCTTCTTGATGGTGGCAGGGGATCTAAAATGTAAAATTAGAAGTTAATCACAATTATAAAATCATGAAAAAGCAAAACATTAGTTGTAAGTATAAAAAATAACATGTCCCATTGAATTTTGGAGGTTACTAAACCTCCATTGGTTGCATTATACAAAAAGCTATTGTTAGCGTGGACGGTTGACCGACTTGACCCAGTGCCTTAGCTAGTCTTTGAACTAATTTCATGAATGTATGCATTAACGACGGAGTATTCCCAGATTTTCTTTAATAAAAATAGACAACAGCCCTACTCAACACCTAGTATCAACTGTCAAAAGAGATTAAAAGGAACGTAGGGACGGGAGATTACAAAAGAACTGAAAATATTCCATCGAAAGAAAGAAAATTTGCACAGATTTCTATTACATATCTAGGAATTTTCCTCATCGATAGATGTTAACAACGAAGAAGAATATGAATTTGCAAGAAAACCAACCTGCAGATGTAACAGAATCCAGTTACAAAAGCTTCTTTAACCTCACAAGAATCCGAAAGAAGACCATGTGCTAACACCCCTTGACCAAAAAGAGATTCAGCGTGTCGTGTCAAGTTCAATAAAAGTGATTTTCCGCACTTCTTACTTTGTAATGATGATGTCACTTCTCCTTTCTTGCGTTGTCTGGTAGTTACAGGGGAAATTTCTTCCGCTTTGCTTTTACTAGCGTTGCATTGAGACAAGTTCTCAGTAAAACTAACGGTATTAACTTTTCCTTCGCATTTTGGTTTTTGAAAAAGCTGAGCCAGTTCTCGAAAAGACATGGCATTCCGGTCTAGCAAAACTTCTTTGTTTCCATCGCAACTAGACATTGTGCAATTAAATAAATTTTCCAGATCATCGACACTATATCCAGTGTGTAGCTGAAAAAATATTGACTGAACAAGGCCTAGCTTGAGAAGTATCTCAAAAAATAATGGATTTTGGGTGATTCTGTTGAGAATTCTCTCAGATCTCGTGTCATAAGGGTCTTTCATATTCATGTATTTTAATAATGGGCTAATACAGGCTTTGGTGACCATGAAACGAATGGCCCTAGTTTGAGACAACTTTGCAAGTATAAGCAGCACATCTTGAAATGGGCCTCTGTGTCCATGAATATTAGTCAGTGAGCCATCAGCACTCGGGAGCACTGGGCTGCCTTCCGTAGACTTAACAACGAAACTTCTGGCAATATAATCTTCAGGTTGTTCGTCCAGTTGACTTTTCAGACTTAGATTCAATATCCGCTCTAAATAAATATGAAGACTTGTCAAAAGGCCTGCCCGTAACATGGTATCAAGGCTGGGATCGTCAAATACAAAGCAGACGAACGTACTGACGATTTGGAAATGAAATTTGGAATATTTTGACTCGCCTAGAAGTTTAACCAGTTTTTGTAGCGCCCCTGATCCCCGCATCCTGCTTCTATTCATTGCCTCCATGGCACAGAGACAAAGTGATGAAAATGCATTCTTGAATCTCTGAGAGTCACCTTCTTTTGAAAGTTCTTCCACACAAACCTCAATAAAGTTTGTACCGCATATAGATACTCTAACTCGTGGAACGACAATCATATAATGCAAACAGTCGGATACCATTCGAAGCTCCTCCTCTGGTATATTCTTTTGCATTAATGATAATAGTAAGGGCAAACCATTAAAAGCCAGTACACGCAGGCATATATTCTCTGAACCGTTTGTGATTCTAAAAAATCTATGCAAAACTTTCAGAGTTGATTTAAGTATCTTTCCTAGATCTGACTCTAATGTTTTTATAAGTGATTGAAAACCATCAGCTGAGACTGCACACTCGACTAACGTGGCATTCTTACAAATCGACCATAGAGTTCTGTGAATTGTTACTGAGCAGATGTGCGACTCATACAGAGGCAGCAGATTGACGAGGGAAATTAGAATTCCCTGACCAGCTTCTTCAGCTTCATATACTGAAACTAGCAAAGTGCAAACTCTTTTGATGATAGATTCGCTCTGTTTTTGCAACAGCAAGTTTTCTAAAAGGCAATCAAAAGCAGCTCACCAATCAATGGTAAAAACTGTACAAGAATGGATTTATATTTTGGTCCCAATTGCTGAACTTCTGGGGAATATATTTTACATCTATATATGGATGTGTTTTTTAAATTGCAAAATTGTAAAATAATGGCATATAGCCCAATGAGCTATAAAGCAGGGTAATAGGGTACAATAACTTGGCATAGAACATGAAAAGAGGTGTTTCCACATTTCTCTGGGACTTTAAAGGGTGTGATAAAAAAATTATCTTTGCAGCTATGCCCCTACGTCCAATCAAGGTCTGATTTCATGAATCAGTCTGAGGCCTTACATGGCTTTTGAAAACCCCAAGGAAAAGGTCCTAACATCAAAACAAAATAACCATCAGAGAATGTTTCTTAAAAAACAGTATTCCAGTACAGTAACCTATTGCCAAAAATACTAGGATTTTCTTGCAAAAACCATGATGAAAATGCTCAGATCTGGGTAGTTGTTAATCTTTTGTAATTTTTCTTTCTAGATCGTAAAAAATACCACAACTTACCAATGACTTTAGACCCATTGACTCTTTCAAACTGCAATGAAAACAAAAATAATTATCATTGTTTGATTTCTATTATGAATAAATACAATGCTAGAAATAACTTACCAACAACTTATAAGAAAATGAACAGCAGGCATGTTATTTCAACTGAAGGGTCAGGAGGGTGGGGCTAGAACCAGTTCTTTGTTAAAAATAATGTGGTTTTCAAACTGTAAGGAGTTACTGCCCCTTTAGACTTCCACCTTGATCAACCACCTTGATCAACCACTTGTCTACCACCACCTCATCCGAGAGTGTAGTGCTAGGGGGCTCAGGGAGGGCTAAGCACCCCTTGTCTATGTCAAAATTCAGCCAATTTCTACTTTTCATATTTTTGCCACAATACCCCCCTCCTTCTTATTTTGATAGCACCACACCTCTGCCCCACCCCTAAATTCCTCATTCTTAAGATCTCTAACTGACCAACTATATGATATATATCATAATAGCAAAAACTTGTTAAATTTGTTTAGAATGTTTCACTTAGAAGAATCTTGATTTGTTAAGAATGTTTCATTTAGAACCTTAGAAGATTGGCTTTGTATGCACTTCATAAGTAAGACCCCAGACAATGACTCCATACTGGAGAAATGAGGAAAATAAAGAGTTATATATATAAAGAGATTAAAACACTAGTAGGTAAAAGATGCCTCACTTTAAAAAATATACCACAAGTTCTTTATAGCTCTTTGGAAAGTTCGCTTATAAAATATTTTCATCTAAACTTAAATTTTCATCCAAAAGGAGACCAAGGAATTTGACATATTTAGCCAGTTTATTATACTTATTACCAATTTTTAAATTGATACTGTCATGCAAAGGGTTGTGAGCTGAGTGAAAAATGACAAAATTTGTTCTATCTACATTCAAGGCAAGTTTATTAGCATCTAGCCATTTTTGACATGTCTAAGCTCCTTGTTGACCACTTTTTGAAGAGTATTTAGGCTGTCTGATTCGAAGTAGTATTTGATCATCAGCAAAGAGATAGAAAGATAGTTTGGAAGATGAACTGGGAAGATCATTTGCGTAAATTAGAAACAGAAGTGGGCCAAGGACATAGCCCTGTGGTATGTACACCACAGGTAATATTGCGATGACTGGAGTTGTAGCCATTTACTGAAACATACTCTGACTTCTGTTACTGAGATAAGAAGTAAACCACGCTAAAGCTGTGCCTCGAATGCCATAATGGTGAAGTTTGTTAAGGAGAATCTGATGATTTACAGTATCAAAAGCTTTTTGTGGGTCAAGGAAGATTACACATCCAATTTTTTATTATCCAAAGAATTCTTGATTGATTCTGTCAAACTGATTAATGCATTGTTAATAGAATGATCAGCTCAAAAACCAAACTGGAGGTTATACAAGATTTTATATACTTCCAGAAAACTAAATAATCTTTTATACATTAATTTCTCTATGACTTTGCTGAAGACAGACAGGAGAGATATTGGTCTGTAGTTTGAAGTTGTTAGGGGGGCAGCCCTTCTTGCATAAAGGGATGACCTTGGCTTGTTCCATTTTTCAGGAAATATACCAGACTGGAAAGACTCATTAATGATTTGAGAGAGAGGGGAGGAAAGGTGAAGAGAAAGAATTTTTAATAATTTGATAGGTATACTATTTGGACCTATTGATTTACCAGCCTTAAACAAATACATTACATTTGATATTTCGTATGAGGCTGCAGGAGATATGAAAAAAGACTGTGGATTATTTTTATCAAGATAATCTAAGGGAGACTTTTGGGACCTAGGTATACTCTTTGTAACACCATCAGCTATATTTAGGAAAAGATTATTGAAAATATTTGCAATAGATGCTGAATCAATTGTTAGGTTACCCTTAAAAATTTTAATAACATGGGAGTTCTCAAGGACCGAGATATAGGGGGGGCTGGGGGGGCCCTGACCCCCCCAAATATTTTAGTACCATAAGTAATCAGTACCATAATTTAGTACCATAAAAAATTGGCGGAATTATCATTTGCACATTTCAAAGGAATTAATTCCCATGAATACTGCAAAAGTTCCACTTATCGAGGTCCCACTTACCGGTTGCAACATCGTTTTGATACCTATATTTTTGTAAGAAACCACTTATAAACTCCAATACTAAGAACAAATCATTTTAGAGACTTTTTGTTGTAGATCTTTTAGTCTAAGAAATCTGATGGTACATCTTTATTTAAGATCTGATATTTCTTAGAAACTCTCACTACAGATACAATCATGTAGCTTTTTTATAAGAAATAGCTGTTTTGCCACATATTTTTAAAAACATTGTTGTTTGTTAAATTTTGTTTTGTTGGAAGTTGGTGAGGTTACTTATTAATCATCAATCTTTTTGTTGTTTTGTTGAAAAGATTACTACATAGTTAAGCAGATATTAATGATATTAATGTTTTAGATTTTTTGGTTTGCAGGTAAGGAATCAAGTTGTTGCTGCCTTAGTTCGACACATTTAATGATCCTAAAATGTGTGATCATTTAACCTCTTTAGAATAAAATTTTTTTCAGTAATAAAATTTTTCTCACAACCAAAATTTATTTGGTTTGGCACTGCCGGTGACAGCTATTTTTATATATATTCAGCAGGGATCCCCCCAGACCGTCAATTTTGCCGAAAAAAAATCATTTATTTGCCAACAGGTTTGAAAATTTTCCGACCAGGCATCCCTTGATGGCGAACACTCTACGCTTTTGAAATATGATTTTTTCAAGGGTGTCAACACCCCTCACATCCCCTTTCATGCCAGCCCTGCTGCCCCCCCCCCCCAAAAAAAAGTGGTATCTCTGTCCTTGGGAGTTCTTAATGCTAATAATGGTTCATGCAAACTTCTTTTTACAAATAACATGATATTTGGAAATTTTATATTTGGTTTGATTTTTAAATTAGTTGAAAATTTTGTTTCTCTCCGAAAAATTGTTTTGTCTCAACACTAAAAATTATCTAGGAGCTTAATTCCCAGGTTCGATGCTTTTGCAGACCAGCAGCCTAAATAACTCGGAATTCCTAGACTTCTGGATTTGATGTTTTGAACTCATCGTAAACCAAACCAATAATTAATCAGAATATAAAAAAAACTATTGTTATCAAAACCTCTTCTTTGAATATTTTGGTTTCTTTAGACAGCCTTTGAAGACACCATAATGATAACTCGATAACAGCGGGATTGTTATTGTCCACTGTGGAGGAATGATCACGTGGTACACTGTGGCCTAACTCATTCAGCATCAGCGAAAAAAGGCGACTAATTCCACCCTTTGTTACTATAGCATTCTTTGCTCTTTCTTGCTTTAGCAGCTTGCATAGTTTCTTTAAACTACATAAAACATGTTGGTGTTGTTTTGATGATATATTTAAGAAAACATGGTCTAATTCGTCTTCGATCTTTGTCTCCAGTTTATCATCATTCATTTTCAAACTTCGTCAACAAGTGTAACGGGAAGCTTACTGTGGTTGTTGCTGCTGCTCAAAACAAGAATTCTACACTTTCTCCAAAAAAACTTAGTGGAAATCCAGGAATTTATAGGAAGTACCAGGTATCAATGCTGAATCACGCAAAAATGCGTAAAAAATGCAAATCACGCTTTCATGGCACCGAGAATTAAATTTCGCGATTCACTATTCGCAATTCACTACTACTCTCTAGCGTTCACTAGCCTCACACGAAAAATTCTAACAGTTATCGAGCCTTTGTCGTATTTGTATCTAATAAAACAGAACATCAAAGTTACAAGTTAACAGCATAATAAATAAATAAGATAAAATGTCAATATGCTAGGAATGGTATTTCATTTTGGGAAAGTTTAATAATAGCCAAATATTGTTAATGTTTATATAAAACAAACAAGAAATGAAATATAAATTAAAATGCAAAAGGTTGGTGGCAATATTTGTACTATATTGCTGGTCCGTTGGGAAACATTGAATAGCTATCTAGTACGTACCATTCCTTAAATTTTTAACAAAATTATTTTTACTATTAGGTCTTCGGTCAGGTCATGACAATATTCTGCATATAGCTTCTTGTTAGCAGAGCCATCGGCATTTGATTCTTTGAATATTGAGGATGTTTATCTGGTCTGTTACCGGAAACAAAGACTTGCTGCTTGTAAAAACGTAAGCACTCCATTTCGAAATTCACATGCAGCCATATTTTTACGCAATCATGCCCTAATGCTAATTCACAGGTCACGCGCGAATGTCGTCTACTCATGCATTCACGCAAAATAAAATTTCGTTTCACGATATCGCGCATCGAGAATACTCCGATCACGCAATCACTTCAAAATACCTTGTACCCCCATTTCAACATACACCTTTTTGGATCTTGAAAATGTTTTTGATAAAATTCAGTGCCCCATCACGGCCGTGAATAACGCAGTTTTCAAAATTTAGCTGTTTGTTACATTTCTATGGAATTTGTTGATGTTTAGAAATATCTAAACATTCAAAATGAAGTAACTCGCAATAGAACAGTTCAAACAACATAACAATATGGATAATAATTTCAAGATGAAGATTTCAAATCCGAGGTCCATTTTTGAGAAATGTGTGTAGATAGCGGAATGCAAAATCGGTGACATCGATCCGGAACGACGAATATAAACTTTACATGGACGTAGACGGTGCTAATTAAATTTTGCTTGTTGAGATGGGCTGCAGCCCTCCCAACTACCTTATCTTCTACGCCTATCAAAATCTACAGTAGACTTCGGTTAAAGCCTCACCAAAAGTTGCCTTAAAACTTAATTGTAAGCGTATTGAACTCAATGCGTAAAGTAAACAGAACTCAATTGAAAAGCTTGCGTGTTTGGGTCGAAATTTTATGTGACTGTAACGGCTAGTGTTACTTTAAGTGGAATCGACCGTACAACCAATTCAAGGCAAAGTAGCTGCATTGTAAGTCCTTCGTTACAAGTTCATAAAGGCAGAAACAATCCATTTGCTTTTGGCAAAATAAACACTTTAAGAACCACTTGGATTCACTAATTTCTAGAGATCTTCATCCTCAGATCTTAAAATGTTGGGCATCAGTTCCTGACGGCTTTTATATTAACTATGGTTTGGATTAGGGCATTGCATCAGCAAATTTTCACAAATTTGGGTCCTAAGAGTACCATCTCTTTGATACGAATAAAATTGATTGCCTAAATACCGTCTTGAAGTTAAAAAACGATATCAATATTTATCGCATTTGAAATTTATCTTTGCAGCCATATAACTTGTAGGGCAGATGCCATGTATCTAAACTAACAAACTTCTTTGCAGCCAACTAGCACTGTATTTTCAAAGAGGCAGTGAAAAATGAAAGTCAATGCTGTTATGAAAATTATTTTTAAACATAATGATACACAATCATTAATCAAAGAAACTACAAGTAAAAATGAAAAACCTTTCTCTAACGGTCTCTGATAAAAAGTCATTGGTGAGCGAAAATCGCGTGCACCAAAACCGTTTACTATCATATCACAAAATGGACAAAGAGGACTAATACATTCCCTAAATGCAAAGCTACACCGGTCTCTAAAGCGATATAAACAAGTTTGTCACATAGATTTGTACGCTTCATTGACAATCAAACAGCTAGCTAAAACATAGCCCTAAAGCAGTGACGAGAGTTTGTCTTGCCTTGAAGTAGAAGAAAAGGGTAGGGGGTATGTCTGTTGTTTAGTTTCCATCTTCAAACCTCACAGTCACAGTCACTAACAGAGTTTCTGCTTACTAAGAAGCATTAATTATCGTCGGCATCATCCCTTTGTGGTGACGCAGAACGGCTTTTGGATCGGGAACGTGAGCGTGACTTAGATCGGGATGCGGATCTAGAGCGGGAACGCGAACGAGATCGCGACCTTCGTGGACTGCGTGAGGCGGAGCGTCGAGAGCTTCTAGATCTTGACTTGCGTGGGCTGCGGGAGGCGGACTTGCGTTGACTGGATCGAGATCGAGACCGTGAGTAAGAGCGGTGCCTTGATCTGGATCGGGACCTGGACCTTGAACGAGATCTTCTGCCCCTGAAAGTGGATATGTTTCATAAATGAAATAAACCATTTACAAAAATATGTAATTTGTTCGGAGATGAGATGAGATGAAATGAAACAAAAAGCATAAGGACTGAAAATTGCAAACTTGAATCAAAAGATCCTTCCTGAAAATTTTTCTAGAACATTGAGTAACCTTTACAGATAAGCTGGACTGCCACAAACCAATTCTAAATTAAGACATGTTCAAGTAATCGATTTGTTGGAAAAGTAATTAAATCCTACCTTGAATAACTCCTTGAACGAGAACGCGACCTTCTTTCAGTCTAAGGACAGAATTAGAAGACATTGCAAAACTCATAGATCAAAACAGAAGCTATACAAATTGATGTGACAGAAATTGGTTGGTTTAATTGGGAAAAGGGGGAAGGGGGAAGGAGGAAAAGGGGGATAAAGCTGACTAAGAAAAGGTGGAGAGTAGAAAAAATGACAACAATAGGGAAAAACACTGAAAAAGATTCTCAACATAAAAAACATTCTCACGCCTATGGCACTGGTGATATTTAACCAAATAACATAACTAAACTCATTGATATGGTCAACAGAGATGTGGATAAATAAATTGGCAATGCAAATCTAGAGGATAGATCATGCCTGAAAATACACGAGGCAATTATGATGCTTCCTTTATTAAAATTGCTTTTAGCATCTTTTATATTTTACGTTTTAATAACTTCGCTGAATGTTTAGAAGCAGTGAAATCAAATGCATGTAAATAACAAACATAGGACATGGTCTATTTTGACAACATATATAATTTAGCTTCATGAAGTTTATTTGCAATAAAACTGTAACCTAACAATAGAACCATACCTCTACCATTCGTATACGTTTTCCATTCAACTCTGTGCCATCAAGCTTTCTGATAACATTCTTCATATCTTCGTAAGAAGCAAAGCATATGACTCTGTTGGGCAAAAAGGAATTGTCCAAAAACCATTCTCAATCTCCATCAAATTGAAAAAAAGTTGAATAGAGATGTAAAACTGCAGGCAGAACTTTAATTTCTTAAGGGGGCTGGATCACGTGTAAGACTGCCGGACAATGTTGTTATGTTGATGCTTGTGGATGGGGGGGGGGGGGGTGAATCCACCACAGCAACTGAAGTGAAATTTGGTAGAATAGAGAATCACAGCGCATCAAGAAGATTGTGGCATCACTTGTTACAAACAATTATTTTTTTAATTGTTATAGTCTTAAGATTGATTTTATACGTATAGTTCAACATTATATCATTGATCAGTCCACAAAAAGGAGCCATTTGTGCTGCAGCGGAAACACAAAAAGTTATTGTCCTGACGGGCTGTTTGGCCAAATGGACAGCACAGAGACATCTGTCTGTGTAAGCCCAGGTTCACAAACAGTAAACAATGCTGAAAGCGACAGTTTACAAATGTTTCACATTTGGCAGCATTGCTAAAAATATAAAGATTTCATGGTCTACCATTTTGTCAGACACTCCGCACAAAATGTTTGTTTACAGTTACATGATCCAGCCCATTAAATATTCACGTCAGCTCAAATGGCCAAGGTCTCTTTCCTTTGCAGGTTTGTATAGTCTAAGGTTACATTATTTAACAATTGCAAGATGATAAACTAATCACTCTCTTATAAGCTAAAATTGCAAATGATTATAAAGCATAAAAGACCGTATTACAATTATCAACATTCTTGAGACTGTAAATCAAGTGAATCACACTTACGCTTCACCACGCTTGTGTTTGTGAGCATCAGCGTAAGTAACTTCCCCAGCTTGTCTGCAGTAGTCCTTTAGATCCTTTGAGCAGAAAGATACAGATCCAAATTGATAAGAAATATAACAAAATACCTTAAAATGGTGATACTTACCAAAATTCTATAGCTATGCCACACAAAGATATGACTTCAAGAGCTGATTCATGATCCTTCTTACCTAGCAGAAGCCATCTTGTGACAATTCAAAGGTACCAACAATATGTAACTACAGAGTGCTTTTTTTATTGTTTAGGGGCTATCATTTCCTTTAATAAAAAATGATGAGCCAGTCTCGCAAAATAGGCAACAAAAAACTAGTTAGTCCTTAAGAGATCAATTAGATTAGATCATTGATGTTTTCCTGGCGCCATCTTGCTGTATAAAATGTAAAGGTTAATAAATTTATTACTATCTTTAATATGAAAATAAAGAAAAAAGTTCTTTGAGCAAAAACTTTTGAAAAAACACCATCAGTAAAAGATAATCACATCTTTTCTTCCAACTGAGAGAGCGATATCTCAGTTGAAAATCATTTTTCACATCCCTCAATTTTAGCAGTGCACTGATACACAAAATTGCTTCATCGAGTCACAAGTGGGGGTGTTTAGAGCTATGAGAGCATCGCATCTTTTAAATTGACGGCACATCATCTGATCAGATCTTAGAGGTTTGAAACGTCACATCTTAGAGACGATAATCATCACATCTAACAGCACATCTAACAGCACATCTAACATCAATGGCTGAGTATGTTCAGAGCATCAGAACTTCAAATGATAGCCTCACATCTATTGCATCTCAGTGCCACAGGCCTCATGCAGCCCTTGGCATCAGTCACACTGAAATTGGGAAGGATCATTTATAAGTAATTCAAACTCAATGACTCTACCATTTTTATGAGAAAAAACCTTCCTTTTTGTTCTGTCATTATTAAAAAAGAACTGACAAAGCCCATGCCTCTTAAACAATACATTCTTCAAGAATACAATTATTTACACACAAATAAAAATTTACAGTTTGAAATGTGTGGCTTGATTTTGAAAATTACCTTTATCCCTCATAAAAACACTGAACATGAATTTATTAAAAAAAATTGTTTGCATTTATGGAAACAGACGAGCAAACATGCACTGTGTTGCACAAAATTATTTGATTTCTTGAGAAAGAACTTACAAAATTCAGACACTCGAAATAATATATATATCTGAAATCTGCTACAAGCAACAGGCTATTATGTATCTTTATATATTTATATAGTCTGAAAATTTCTGAATATATTCTTAGAGTAAAACAATATAAAAATAGCTATGTTTTAGAAACAAGTTCCAGTGTAGCATACTTTGATGTTGCTTTTTGATATGTTATGTATATACAGCATGGCCAATCACAATAATCACTTACAACAATGAAAGAAGACAATAGAGTAATCAATCTCTAGCAATACATAAAAGGTTAAAATATTTTATATTCATATTACCAAATAGCATATCACAAGAAGATATAAAAACCCACCTGCCAGCTGACTCTGGTGGACAGATTTTCTACAATTAGTTTATTGGTTGTTTTCAATGGAGGACCATACCTAAAAACAAAACAAACTTCAAAAATATATAGTATATAAATTTACATGTACCCTTGTGGAAAGAATTATCCTCCTGTCATACCCTATTCGTTAATAAGATACATAAATAGAAACAAACATATTAGGAGCATTGAGAAAGAAACAGAAAATTATTCTCGCCCTAGCAATTAAGCTTTGATCAACAAGGTATTAGAATTGCAAGTTGGATTTAAAGCTAGAGCAAAAAATGATAGATTTGTAAATGACAAATCAAAAATTCCTCATTCGCCCATTCACAAAAAAGATCATTGGCATTTGTGTTTGCCTTTAGAATTCTGGATGGATGCTTTTAAAATATAGACCTAAGACAATTAGAAAATTTCTTGATAACTCGCAAAAACATTAAAGGTACCTTTCTAATGCTCTTTGTTTTCTGCTCTTCACAACATTTGTGAAAGCTCCACCACGACCCCGCTCAGTACCTCTGGCATGCTCAATAATTACCCTGGATGAAAGAGAGATAGATGACTAAAAAAGTGAAAATTGGAGTCAAACTTTGAAAGAGAGATAGATGACTCAAATAGTGAAAATTGGAATCAAACTTTGAACATGCCTTGCCTGTAATAGCAGACAAAGTTAGGAAGGCATCAGGCATTCCATTTACACAAGTTTGGTCTCTATCAAAATGCTCTTGTCTAAACAGTACCTTTTTGACAGAAGGAAATCATAGGTAATTTTTTCAACAGGAACACTGTACTGATTGGACAACTGATTGTATGCTTGCATTTTTCTAATTGGCCTATTTCAATCCACAACTGGGTAATTATTGTTCTTGTTTTTCTGACCCTTATTTTGATGCTTTATACTCCGTGGATTGTCAGAATCAAAAGCTTCCAGTATGTTGTTTGCTTTTATCAAAGCCATTTTCAATTTTGTACAGCCAAAAATTGTTCACAGTTATCTCAACATATACACTTAGCGAGCAAAGCATTGCACAGGTTTGACAAATCAGTTCTGTCAACTGCATTGTAAACATCATGGCAATTGAAATTTAAATCACCTTTGTAAAGCCATAAGGTATCTTTTTAAAGTTAAAAACCAATCAAACCCAACTTCAAAACGTTTAATTCAAAAACTGAAAAATAAATTATTTATCTCAAAGCTTCTAGAAATTCATCATAAAGTTTTGTAACATGTTCTGTTAAACCCCACAAGATAATTTCAGAAAAGCATCTGCAAGATCATATCTAGGTGCTGGAGCACCACGTTGATCATTATTGGCCTTGCATTTGTTGGAAAGTATCTATATTTTAAGGGCTAAACATTGTAAGCATATTTCAAGCCCTTTTTCTATGCCCATTCTTTCATAGCTATTGAGACACATGACTGTATCTGTTTATTGCGAGAATTTTGGCCTTTTCATTCAATGAGAAGACAAAGTTTTGTTTTAAGCAAATCGTAGCATTATTTGTTCCTTTACATCAAAATTGGTTGGAAAAGATGGACTTGATGATTTGTGACATATTTTATTGATTGAATTTTGTTGCGATATAATCACATGGCAGCGGCTGCCATTAGGTTGATAACAGCTCCAAAAATTTTTGACCACAATATTTAGCCTATTCTCCCACCACAGTGAGGAAAATTAGCAGTTCTAGACACCTAACCATAAAGTAGTATCCCCTAGTTCATTTTCATATCACAAATTTGTGCAAAGATAAACTGTTTATTGCAAATGTTTTACTGGTACTTCAACCATCATGGCTCGATTTTGTGTTTTTGCAAATGTTGACATTGTTTAGAAATAGGCAAAAATCAAGAATATTCTTGCATTTTCTATTTTCAGTATCAAACCTTGATAAATTACAGTATTTTCCAACTAAAAAATCATTTTATAACTTTTATGAACTTGCTGTGGCCATTTGAATTTGTTTGCAAATAAATTTTGCTGCAGTGTCACCATTTCTGTCTCAGCCTGTACACTAATTTTGCTCACTAAGTCTATGAACTATATATATATATTTATGATACACATATATTGTATATAGATGTTATGTCTTGATTATGTTAAACTTGTCCTAAATCTTGGATTTATGTCCAAACAAACTGAATTTTAGACCATTTCAAATCTTATTTCACATAGGTATGATAAATGACGCTGCAATATACAAAAACTTTATGATGCAAATGTTATTATTTACCTTTCACCCATGAACTCCTTTCCATTCAGATCATAAACAGCATCATCTGCATCTCTGTAATCTTCAAAATCCTTAAAGCAAAAGATAAATCTAAACTGTCACTTAATTCAAATTCGTTATGGAAAATTCCAATATTTTAGATAAAGTGTTACAATTAACCTTCAGGTGAAAAAATATGAATTTTTGAGAGTCCAAGGTACTCATCTACTGAATCAATAACTCAAATCTCTATTATTTTTCCTTAAGCAATACAATTTTTTTAACATGGAGATTGGTGTGCACGAAAGTAAATGAGAAAGGAATTTGAAAATAAATGTCAAACAGCCATTCAGCATAAACTTAAATCAGTTAATGTTGTAAGATTTATGGCTTAACAAAGTCTAGAAAATTAGCTTTGGGTGGAAGAGAGAGAAAGGATAACAAAGGTTTTTGAATGACATAAGGATTAAGATAATACATATTTTAGCTAATGTATATATGTAATGAGGAGGGAAGTTGTAATCAGTTATAAATTAATACTTTCTCTCCTATAGGTTTTGACACAAAGCAGCTCTTGAGACAGATTTTAACTTAAACAGTTTTGGTCTTTCTATCTGTAGTTATGCTTATTTTCAAACTTCTTTTTAATTTTACAGTTATCTTACGGTTCTTAAGAGATGTTCGAAACCAACTGCTCTATCAAATTGCACTACTTTCCATCCATCTCTTCTATTGCCTTAGACTTAGGAGGGCTCGCTTCCCTTTTAGGAATTTTTTGTACTGCTATAATTGTTATTTAATTAAAATTGATAACGATAAGTAAACTATCACAACTTCGTTTTCTTCAAGCAGGTAAGATGAACATGACATAGAAACTTGATTGTTTACGCGTCGTTTTGATTTCTAAACCGTGGAAACTTGACACCAAACCAACGCTTTGACTGCTTCTGCCATCGCCGTCATTATTCAAGAATTTATTCACTTCGTATTAACGTTTTTTGATAAAAAACAGCTAACAGCATTTCCAAATCGAAATTATTTGTAGATAACCCATATCTGGGTGAGATACAGCTATGAAACATTACCCTTTGTGTAATTAAAGTAAAAAAACGCGCACGCGTCCGGGCCTACTTACCACGAATCCATATCCACTTTTTAGGTTGATTTCCCTCAGACGACCATAGCCCTTAAATAATCTTTCGATATCTCGTTCACTGGCTCGGCTTGGTAGCCTTCCAACGTAAAGTCGTGGTACGGTTTTCTCTCTTCTACTTGGTGAGTATCTCGACATTTTGCTCGACGCTTTGCACTTCTTTCTGTAAACTGTGATCTCGCAATGCGGGAAAGGCTCGAAAAGGGTTCTGGGAGGTTTTTCATTCGAGCTGCCTCGTATCAAGAGAGTCCTCGATTCGAATAGAATCAAAAGTCAAAAGTCATTTTGTACCAAAAGTCATTTTGTAACTTTTAACAACGTACTGTTATTTGGGTATAGGGTCACATCACCCTGATTGAGTATACATAGATGCAAGTTAAAATTTTTCTATTTCGCGTAGACTTAGACATAAAACTTGGCATTGACAAAATCCTTCAAACTCTTCTGATATATATTTCAAAAGATCATTTTTGAAAAGACCGCGATTGGGTATGTTTTCCGATAAAAAATGAGATTATGCAACAAAATCTGCACAATTTTAAAATATCATGACTTTTGTGACTTTTCTTAAAAACGTGTACTGTCATCTGGAGCAAGTAAGCTTTCGAAATCGCAAAAAGTTGTCATACCAGCGTGGTGATCAGAAAGGGCTAGGATCTTATAATGTATTAACATCGAATAATGACCGAAGATAAACAAACAAATTTATGCAGGTGCTGATCTAAAGCAAGGCAAGTAGAAGAAGGACAATTTTGGCTTGCTCCTTGTTTTTGACTAATCAGCAACCTCTAACATCCAGGAACATTGCCATTAGGAAAGTGTAAAACCTCTGAAGAGCCAAGATGTTGCCCCTTACTTGGCAGATTCTGCATTATTTACTGCTTAATTGGCAAACTTGGTGGTCGACATTAATTACGAAAATCATCCTGACACCGGGCAATACCCGAAAAACGATAAGCGGAGACCGACAATTAAGAAAAAAAAGCTTAGCCCATGCTTTACATAAATACAACTTCAAAAATTTACAAACAAACAGCCCCAAACTATCTCATGGCTATAAAATATCGATTGTAATGTTGCTTCTTGGAAGCATTAAATGCTAAATCATGTTTTGATTTTATCTAAAATCCAGATACAGTTATGAATGGCATGGTCGCTAGAAGTGCTGCGGGCAGAAGACTTTCTCGATTGATAAGATGCACCAAGGTCCATTTCACTGTGACGCAGAGCCTCTAGCTTATCCTTTATGTTCAAAGAGATTAATAGCTGGAAAGAATTAAGAATTTAAATTATTACTGAAAGAATGGTTATGCCAACATTGCTGAAGACAACTGAAAGAAAGTGAAGATATTTCCAATACCGAAAAAGAAGGTGCAATTATTGCAAATAACTTTGCAAAGAGACATCAAAGGTCTTTCAAGGATAGGGTCAATCGAAAAATGTTCACTTAACAACGATAATTTAGAATTTTCTGTAATAGATTATAATTTATATAAAAATATGCATGAAATGAAATGATCGTTGGACTTTTGAAGCTACCTCTGGATAATTTCACGGTAGCAAAGGCAGTTGTTTCTCTGTTTCGACTTTAAAGATATATATTTTATAAGAACCAGAGAGAAATATTATTCTTAATGCGATCATTAGGCAACTGTTTACGTAAATATTTTGTTAAATTATAGTTTACATTGTGAACCAATGAAAACATAGTAAAACCTTTCTGCATTTTGGATTCTGGATAAATATTCTTAATGCCCAGACAGCAATTTCTTTCACATCGTGTTCTGCATCTTTTGTTGCCATCTCTAAAAGCCTAAGTAAAAGAGAAACTCATCAAGATGTGGACGCTTTTGCAACATAAACCTAAGACAATTAGAAAGAATCTTTAGAATTGGCAAAAACATTAAAATTAGTAGTAGTTCCTTTGAGAATGTACAATTTTTGTCCCCCGAGTGTCATAGGCAGTTGAGACAGGAAGAATTCATGCCTTTTTCCATTGCACATGACACAGATAAGCTGTTGTTGTTAAGATTTTATTTTGGCTGATGATAAGAAAGATTTTGACGATAAACTAAAGACAGAAGAAATTAGAATAGGTTTCAAGTATTCAGGCATTACTGCCAAAAACTATTACCAAGATAGAATAACAGAAATTTATTACATCTTGCTATAACTCCTTCTCTGTGCCATGTAAATATTGTGTTGTTGATCTGAAGACCAACTCTGTTGTTTTTAAAAAAGAAAGCAGATATCTGTCTGTCTGCCTCTCTGTATTCATTGCATAGAAAAATATCTTAGTTGTTGAGCTAAGTTTCGCTCTGAAAGTTACTTTCAAATGCCGTATCGATTAACAGCTGTCTAGCTGTGACTCCTTTTTAGAAGGTCGTGCAGCAACATCCTTTTTAGAAGGTCGTGCAGCAACATCAACAAAATTTTCTTATTTTCAAGACTATACTAACAAGATAATACTTGAAAACAATGCAGAAATAAACACTGACAATAAGGATGCAATAAAAGTGCTTTAACTTCTCAAGAAGATGTAGAGATTGAAAAATGGCAAGAGCAAAAGAAAGAGAAAAAGAGTAAGCTAAAAGAAAACAAATGAAAAGAGTTGGGATTTAAACAAATCAAGAAAACAAAATGGAGTCAAGAAGAAATGTAGCGACATAAAAAGAAGCATCAAAGAGCGATTTGATGAACAGTCCCGCCAATGATACCTACACATACCTTTCTGGTGCCTTTGCTTCAATTATTTCGGAGGCTAGGGCAGATGAATGCTTCATCAAATTCCCAAAGGCAGCTAAAAGAGACAAAATGTCAAATATTCAACGCAAGATGAATAAACTTATCTAACACCAACTTTAGTACTTCAACAACAGCTGAAAAGAACTAGTAAATTGGCAAGGCCAGAACAGCGATGACATTTTATGATGTTTACAGTTGTTTTATGACACTAGCTCAAGAAAGGGCTGTACTAAGCTTGCATGAAGCTCTGGCTGAAAAATTCACTGAAGCGAAAGCAGGTATTTTTATGTCATTATCCTTCACACTCACACAATTGCAATTTGTATGCATGTTACACGCAGGTAGATACACTCGAAAGGCAGATCTATTTGCCCGGCTCTAAATCGAACATTTCTACATCCTCCTTGTCACAGAACGCTCATTCTATATCATCTGTGAGACTTGTGTAATGCTATAAACATCTCGCAAATTCAATTTGTGGCTATTGGCTGCAGCCCAGCCAGCTAATCCCCTAATCCATCTCAGAGCAAAAGATGAGAAATCAATGAAGGATATGAAAACAGAAATCGACTGTCTTGCAATGCAGTTCTCTTTAATTCCTGTACAGAATTCAATGGGCACAAAACATCACCATTAGTATAAAGAATAAGACAAGAATCAGAATCTACGACATAAAAATAATTCGAAAGAGATCAAGCAATACTTTTTACTTCTTACCTATTGCATTATATCGGACCTTTGATATTGGATCATACAAATGCTTGTTTAACAACGGCACCGCCTGTTTAAGGTCGTTATATAATGTGTCATTATGATATGCCATGTTTCCAATTGTGAATGTTCCAGCCTATAAGAAACAAGTGCAATTCTTTTTGAATGATTAACTTCACTTGTTTTTATCGTGACCAGTTAAGATTTATAAGATTTATATGAAAAAAGTAACGTTTTTACACAAAGCAGAGAATTACAAGTAAAATATCGATGTTTACCTTTTTCTCGCTAACATCGGTGCTGGAAGCTATGTTGAAAATGCGTTGAATGATCGGCCTACAAAGACAATCCTTAAAGTTACAAAGAGATTCACTGCTGTTAGAGTTTCTAGAAACGGAAGAAGTGTATCAACGCTAAAGAAATCGCTTACACATAGCAGTGTTTAATATAATATTCACAAAAGCAATTGTAAAACAAACCTTGTGAGTTGGGCGTATAACTCATCAGAATGCTTGAGGAGATTCCCAAGAAGACTACACGATCTTGATCGAACACTGCAGTGGCCACTGTTTAGCAGCTCGAGGAAAGTTGCACCGCCCTCTGAAAAGTTGTTGTTGGGTTAGAAACTTATAAGCTTGGCACTTCTATGGTGTAGAGGTTACAGTGCCTCTGGCCATAGTGAGAAGATATTAACCGGTTCGAGTCCACGGCTCGATCCTCGCAGCGAAAGAAAAATAAATTAGAATCGGGTTCGATACTAGGAAGGTCTACGTGCTTAGAAACAAAAAAAAACAGCACAAAACGGTTTGTATTATTATATGCAAGATAATCAGTAGAAATCTTAGCTTGAATAAAAATTAATTACAAGAAAAATTGGATACAATAGCTGAGAAATACCATTCTAAAGTATTTAGATAACAGGGAATGAAAATGTTAAAGACATTTGAGGTACAAATCTTAGAACATTGAAACAGATGCCGCCCCTAAATCTATTGAACCGAGAGATGCTTTGTGAATGCCTGTTCTAGCCATGTTTACTTTCATATCAACGACCTTAGATTGATGAATTGAAACAGTACCTTCGCTTTCTTTGAGTATTGATAAAACAAGTGACGCATTTTCAGATGAAAAACGAGGTATGTGTGACATCAGAGTGAGAGCATCAAGTAGCAGGTAAATCATCGTATCACTGTTGCTGAGAATTTCACTGAAAAATCGCTGCAGCTATAATCAGAAAATAAAAGTCGATTATCAAACTGTGATGAACTAAGAAGAACTTGCTATGCACCACAGAATTCGCTAGCTTGGAAAAGGCAGTTTTTAATGTTATATCAATAGAGAATTGAATTGCTGAGTTTCAGAAGAAAAAGCTGTTACATTATTTCATCTTACAGAGGATATTGAAATGAGCAATGCCTTGAGGTTCTTTCTATTTAGAATGATGCAAAACCAAACTTGTAGGTATTTACTTTTATCAATTAGCTAAACTTGCCTGTTGATTCTTTCTGAGTGTATCTGACAGCTGTGGTACGAGATCTTCTTCAGATAATATCAAGCGGCACATTAAGCCTGAAACGATTAAAAACTCTGTATATTTCTCTAATACAAACTTCTTAATTTATTTCAGATTTCGGGGCATCATGAATACAACAAGGCTGGTGTACGGCCATACGCCCTGGTTGGGAACTGATGATGATACGTTGCCACAAAGGAAATAAAATGATTGTAAAACTTCTCTAGCATCGTGGCCTTGAGTAGCTGCTATTATCAAAAAAGCCACCAGTAACAAAGAGGAAAAGGTAGTCCTTTCAAACGAGAATGATTCTATTTCTGACAGAAAAAGCAGGGATTATGTGGATATCTTTATAACATGGGCCCAATAACTTTGGCAAAGCCAGGACAATGTGGTCCAATGATGCAAACATTTTCGGTCCAATGATGCAAACATCTATTTATTTTCTGTAGGTATCCTACGATCAAGTTGAAGACAATAGTGCCCCGAGGTCACACAAGAAACCCTTTAGTGCGACATGCAGCCGTCTTGTGATTCTTTCAGGCATTTAGGACGAAAGCAAAATTGAAAATCATCAGAAATTCACCATATGAAGTTTGAAACGTGAAGGCAAAATCAAAAAGTCTGTTTTGCAAAAAGAAGGCAAGTGTAAACATGTAAACCAAAACTTACCTACTAAAATACTTGCATACTCTTCGTTTTCCTTGAAGAGAGCTAACTGAGATGCCAGATTGGCTACAAGCTGACTGGTCTGCAAACAGCTAGGGACATCAAATAATGCATAACATTGTTTAAAGCAATAACAGATAATTTAAAGCGGGTATGTGTCCCCATAATGAGAAGTCTGTTGAAACTTCAGGATTTCGATGGCAACTATCCAATTTTTTCTTCTACGACAAGAAAAACATTGCAATCTAGCATTCAATAACACATTGTGACATGTCCCTTAAACAAGCCTTCACAGTTACAAGATATAGCAACGAATATAAAGTAGCTTCCTGCATTTCCCTGAGCAATATTTTAATCTACATCTTGGCTCTTTTGGAAACCGGAATTATACACAAACTTAAAGCCAGGGGGTTGTGTTTTAGGTCCATTCTCGGAGCATTCCTCTAATAATCAGAGAAAAGTAATCTTCAAGAACAGGCCTAAGTGTGAGTTTCATTTAATGGAAAAAGAAACATAAAGAAACTCAAACTTTAATATCGATGGTAAAGAGATGAGTAAAATTGATACAAAAAAATTTTCGACCTGTTTGTTTCAAGTCTGGACAAATAGCTTAAATTTCATGATTCATAAAGTTATTAAATGTGAAAGAATACCTTAGAACTGTGTCTAGTTGAGTTTGGAATGAATCGACTGCAAACGGCAGACAAAGGATCTGTAGCAAAGAAAAAAAGAAATTTTCAGCTTTATCATCATTTGAACTATCAATTAACAATTACAATTATCAGAATAACTTCTTCGGTACTGTCTCTTTAAATGATAACATAAAATTTGATTTGATAAAGTGAAGATTGCTCAAGAGGCATTCGCATCTACCTTCAGCATCAACAACTTTGAAATTGGTACGTTCAAATTCTCAGTATTTGGAATCACAAGATATAAAGATACATACATAATTACATGCTTTACATAATTTTAAACACCTTACATATATGTAACATCTAAAAGATCTTAAAGATATCATTCAAATTTGAAATATTTTAGAAATGAGGTATCTATAAAAAGCAAAATGATTTGCTTACTTTTGTAACATCCAAAACAATTTCACTGTGACGACTGATATAGAAACATAAGTGGTTATTCTGGAACTCGGTTTTTCTGTGCAGACAAAATGTGGTGATCATTGATTAAAGATTGAAATGTTTCTCGTGCAATGGTCAAGGAACCATTAGAGTTTAGTCATCTCATAACCTTTTCTAGCTTCTGTCGTGTGGTTGGTCCTAATAGTTGACAGTTAAAACACATGCGAGATAGTGATTCAAGAACACAGATACTGATGGAAAGAAAATAATAAGCTTAGCAATACGACAAACGGTTAAGTAAAAAGCATAAACCCGGAAGATCCAAGAAAAGTACAGTGCTTATATTTTCATGTCAAATCGTCAAGCTTCATTATAAATCTCTTAAACGTTGGTCAAAGCTATTGCTGCAGCAGCATTTGATATCCATCCAATAATTCTTAAAATTAAAAATTTACAAAAAACCTAGTTTCAATAAAATAATCGATGCAAAACACAAAAGGAAACATCAAAGGAATTTATGCTTACGCTTTTTCGTAAAAGGCTTTGAAATCTTCACTAACCAAAGAGCAGATGCCTGTCAGCAAATTAAAGTCAACGCAGAAATTTGCGTCGTGAAACGCAGATCCCGCGCTCTAAAACAAGACAAACACAATTGAAGTATGGAGATATGTTTCCAAAGATTTAAAATAGCAAAGTGGCCCCTATAGTGAGTGAAACATGACTTACATATCTACAAATAAAAATAATTATTTACGCAAACGAAAAAGGCAGTCCTATCAATTCGTTTGCAGCATCTACATAATTATAGGAGAAAATATATGAAATTATTACAATTCAAATAAGGACTATCCGAAGGAGATACTAATATACAGAAATATAAAGCTACAACAAATATAAAATTTATTGAACTTACTGTACTGCAGAGCTCATAATACACTTTCAAACAAACGGAGAGGCCGTACGGTGATATTATTTTCCAGGCAAATCTTTCATCTTTTAGTTTTCTTTCATTTCTAAAACCAAGAAGTAATTCCTAATGGTTGTGTGAAACGATATCTAGGCAAGAGAGAGGGGGGGGGGTGACAAATAGTCTCAAGGTCAACAAATTTGGAATTCATCACAAGTATAAGGGGGTAGGATGAATGTATGAATGAAATATTTGGAGCCATGCCTAGATATCAAATCATGGCAAATGACATAAAATTACAAGTTTAAACACACTGATAAATAACATCTCGGAAAAAGAAAGGGCAAATCTGAAATTAAAAACAACAATGCATAACAATAATAAACATCAAGATAAAGACTTACGTTGACTGTTCGGCAAAAAACATTGACAAAATATTGCGTAGAAACTGGCAGATTCTCAGCATATCAATTCTGTTTTGCCAATTTTTTTCCTGTGCGAGAAATAGCAATTAACTATCACAGGCTTAAATTCAAAACTTATCGTTAAAAAGCAACCTAGTTTTAGAAAAAAGTAGCAAGTCTTAGAGAGTATATAAGAACTTAATAAAGAAATTGAGCACAGGGAAATGGAACAAGAAGGGATAGAAGGAGGGCTGTGTCGACAACGTCTAAAGAAATCATATAATTATAAAACTGCAACAATGGCAAAAAATGCAGCCTGTCGTCTCTCTGGCTATTCAACAGATCACAGAAAAATTTAATTTTCAACTACCTGTATTGCGGTATCAGCTAGAATACCAACATAACCATCAAAGACTCCATGCCCCAATGGTAGCGAAGCAAAAGATGACTATAATGGAAAAGAGGTCAAACGCAAGTAAGAACGAGGAAACAGATATCTTGGTCAGCTACTAACAAAAAGCAGCAGATATTGCGTACAGAAAATGCTTGAGCGTGCATACATCTGGATTGTGTAACAGCGGAGAAAATCAAGCCAAATGTCATATTGAAAGGTTAGTCAAACGAAACTCATATCTGTTTTGCAAAAAACTGTTTTCTATAACCAACCAAGTTGATAACTACGTCACAAAAAACTGATGTCATTATACTCTGAAGAGTGTCACATAGGAAGCTTTGATACGTCTTATAATGTTTGTTGTTTGCTCAGCCGTTTTCAAAGTTATTCACGTTTAATAATCTATTGTGCTTATAATTCATTTTGTTCCTTGACAAAGACCTACGGTATGGGGAGAGGGTAGCTTCAGGTCTCAGTTCTTCAGACTTCAAACCTATGGGCGTCCATTACTTTCAAAATAATGAGCCCAAGTAGATTTTTAAGGAAGGAGCACCAAGTCAAAATACAGATAAATTGATAATGAAAAACATTCACTGAGTTTCCAAAGAGTAAGAACGAACTAAATATCTTTCAAGAACAGTAAAGTATATTCAAAATAAAGAAAGGAATGGTATATAATCAAAGCTGTTTAAGGTCTTGAAAATAATTCAAAGCTATCGTTCTAGCTGTTAAGCATTACCGCTCATTGGTTAAGTCATGTCTTACCATGTCACTTATACCTTCATAACTTTCACAGGCTGCAAAGAAAGAGTCTTCAAATTGCTGTTCTATCAACGTGTCTTCATGTTCAGACTCGATTGCAGTCATGGAAAGGAGGAGTGCTACCATGTCTCTTACGTGATTTGCTACTTCAATAAACAAAACCTTGAGTGTACTGTTCAGCTGTAGGCTTCTGAAAACGAAATGTATTATTTCAACCTTGGTTTCTTACATCATACACAAATACAAGCAAATCTTCGAACAAAGCTTATCGGTAAAGCTGGCCTACTTCGTGAAAACACCGAATTCTAAAATATCATAACACCTAACTTTATTGTTGCGATTAAAACAGATTAATCTTTAATTTAAAAGAATAATACTTAATTTGAATAATTAATGAAAATTACTATTTACCGGTCTGTCACGAAGTGCTCGGGGCGGTATTGGCAGAGCAGTACAAGCGTAATTTGAATAATAAATTATACTTTGGGAGTAGTTTTACATTCTTATTAAACCGTGCTATATTTTACAGGGAGAGCTGACATCAACTTCGGTGATATTAAAAGTTACCAACTAATTAGCTTGATAACGAAGTATCTGGTACCTCTCGATTGAATCTGCACTTCTTCCAATAATGTTGATAAGAATAAATAGCAGATCTTCTAAGTTGTCATCCTTTTTCGATAAAAGAGCAGGTACGAGTCCAATAAAGCCCTTCCAGGAACTAACATCAACATTTTCTGAGCATTGACTCATTGCCAAGAGCACCTAACAGAAATATTTGATATGAAATTTTTAACGTTTCTCTGAATTAAAGAATATACACTTAAGCGTATTCTGGTACAGTAAAGTGAGGCAGTAGCGAAACAGAGGTTCATGGAGTAAGTCTAGGTGTATCCCTCCTGGAAGTGCTCGATGCCAAAATGCAGAGGGTTATACAGAGGGCGAACCAGTTCAAGAAAGCCTCACACTAAGGCCGATGAATTACATAGTTTTCAACACAGAAAAAACCCGGCAGAATAGAAGTTTTAGATTGTTTGGAAAGTAAAGATATGCCAACAGACTGATTTTTAACGAACTTTCGAAATACAAGTGCTAACGAATCAAAGGAAATTGATATTAATCACGGGTTTGTTTAAGTTTAAACTAAAAGGACTCTTGATAGAAATGGGAGTTTAACATAAACTAACAGTTTAACAAATAGCTTCAACATAAACTGGTGAAAAACACAAAAGAACTAAAAAACATAAGAACACAAAAGAAATTCACCTTAATCAAATCTTTTAGGTGTTCCTTGGTACCGAAATCACGAACAAGACGGCCCATCAACCAATCAGCTGATTCCCTATGTGTTTTGATATAGTCAGCGATCTGGCAGCTAAACTCTTTGGTCAGGGACGAATTTCCACCGGATGCCGTGAATACTGCTGCTAAGACCTCTAAACATAGTACTGCAAAATCAATTGGATTATGTATGGCTTACATTTGACTCACGTTTACGAGTATCAGAACTGCTTGGTTATGAATTTAATTGAGCATAGAATGTCTACAGCCTAAAATGTTGCAGAGTACCAGAAGATATATTACATTTCACAACTGACTTCTGAGAATCTGACATAACAGATCAGGTGCTGATCTCTATATTTTGCCACCCTACCGTTTAAAAAAATAATGCTGGATATCAACAGTTTATTAAATTTTCAATTTATCAAACAAGGCTTTCATAAACAGAATGCGGAGGGAAAAACAATACGGAGGATAAAATGGTCTACCTGAAATAAACTGCAATCGTTGGTAGGCACATCCGCAGCGCAGAACCCCCGTGACGAGGCTGTCATTTCTTGCCAACTCCAAAACGGACAAGTTGGAGCATCCCAGCTGCAAGATCTGTCCTAGGTTCTGCATCCAGGTAAAAGAGAAAATGATTTCAAAGGCTACAGATACCAAAACTAATATCTAAAAAGTCCATTAAATTCAATAAAGCTATAGCTGTTGGAAAATACAGAACTTTCTACATGTATCAATAGAACTCTTATTGTATTAACGTTTTGCTGTTTCAGTTATTGTAGATATAATCTTGAGCTCGATCTGCTCCTTTCTAAGACAATTCCTAAGACAGCTACACGTATCATCGTGCAGATTGATTTTGCACTTCCATATACATTGCAGTTATACGACCTAGAGGCCTAAGGCAAAATCATAAACAGGAAAGGAACTGCAGAGTATTCTTGCAGGCAAGTTGCGAAATGTTGCCAAAGCGCTACCAACATTCTCGAAATCGAAATTATTTTCCATGGGATTATATTACTTGCAAAAGGAGATTGAGAATTGAAATGCTTACTAGTTTGCAAAGAAAAAATTAAAAAAAAATTGACCTGAGTTTGTCAAGAATCTGCAGCATGATAGATAAGTTTCAACCATACCTGTAAAAGACTCTGCTTCAATTTGTGATGCTTATCCTCTGGGTGAAACAAACATAACTCACACGAGGGTATCATCTTAGAGCTTTCTTCCAAAAAATATTTTCTAAGATGGAAAAAAAAAGGAACTTCACCGCCGATTTTGAAAAGACATGAATAATTAAAATCTAAATTCTGAAGCAAATTCAATAATAGAATTTTATGCATTTCAATCTGCATGCATTTCAATATACAAGCATTTCAACGTAGACTTAAAAGCATGCATTGAACGAAGTTAAAGACTCATTGCCAACAATGGGCTTTTGCGAGCGTGGCGACGATCCAAACAATGGGAGTAATTTTCTACGGATTAACCAAAATTGATTTTAGACAGTCTAAAAATGCATTATGGGATGCTTACGTAGCGCAATGGCTCATTGTTAGCAATGAGTCTTTTAGATAAAATAATCCACCAATAAACTAAGCACCCACAAAACTGACAGAAAAAAGTATGGAACTATTTATGCAAAGAAACCAACGACAACTGAGAATGCAAGAAATAAAATGCCACTGAGAACCTGTAAAGTTGATTAAACGTGTACTGAAAAATAACTAACGCATTTAAAAACAAAGTTGCTCTACAGGAAGAACTTAACGTGAACTTGGTCTGAGTATTGAGACTGCTACTGATTAACATTTGATTTAATAAAAACGTAATAGTAACCGAAGACAGAACAACAGAACAACAGAACAACAGAAAAACGAAACAACGGAACAACGGATCAAAGGAACAACGGAACAACTCAACGTGAACTGGGTGTAATGGAAATCTTTGCTTTCAACTTATTATCAGATGCAAGTTACTAATCTTAATAAAAAATTTATAGGCTTTTAAACAAAAGGGTCAAACTCCCAAAAAAGTAAAGGAGGCCAACAAATTCAATTGAAGTAACACGCCCAATGAATTCTTAATCCATTCATCTCCTTTCATAAGGAAGGTTTCCAGAAATAAAAGTATTCTCCGGACTTAAAGAATAAAGTTGGAATAGAGCTGCTGAACATACTCGAACTGCTTTGCCTCTTCCTGTGTCAAAAATCTTTCCGCAACAATGAGATTCAAATCCAAAGCATCGATTAGGCACGCAAATAGCCAAGGCTACAGCAAGAATAAATTATGCAAGGTCAAAAGAATAAAGAGAAAGGAATAGGCTGTCCCCTGTTACAATGCACAGGTAGTCCAATTCTGATCTCGATAATCAATTGCAAGCTCGGTAGAAGAAATTGAAGTTGCAATAAACACTGAGGAAGGTTTAAACATTAATTAACAAAAATGACCTAATGTATAAAGCAAACATTTTTCACTAATTTAAGATAAAAATATATTAAAATAGAAACTTAAAAATTGAAACTGCAAGAAACAGTTATCTATAAAATGCTATACATAAACTCTGCAAATTTTTGAATAACAGGTTTTTGCAAACAATTCATACTTCCTGTTTAGCGATTTTGGTACTAGATGCATTAACAACGAACTCGGGTACGACACGGTGCAGCTCAATGCTGATCCAAAATTTCAGTTTCCCTTCCACGGTGCTGTAGAGAAATGACGAAAAAGCAAAAATGAACAAACATATCAACATTCGAAATGATTAATCATAGACCAATACTATTCAAAGGATCTCAACACACAAAATATAGAATTGATGAAAGAAATAATAAAGAGAAATTAAGAACTGGTAAATATTGATGAAAATAAAAGATTGATGTGCGTGTACAAAATTTTCAAAGAGTAAACAAGATACCAAGAAAACTCTGAATATGGAAACTGCTGTTGATAAAAATTCGATTAAACGTAAACATAATAGTAGTTTATAGTAACATGTGGCTACCATTCATTAACCAACTGCTAATTAATGATAAATAATGATAATCAATTTGATGGTTCACTATTCCCAGATGATACAATTCTCAAGATTCTCAAGGTCGACTCTAAACCGAGACCGAAAGTTTTCTTAAGACCGATATTAGGAATTATCTGTGCATGCGCAGCTGACAAAGATAGAAAAATTGACAAATAAAGAATTTTTGAACACTGTACCTTTTCGATTCAAAGCAATTCCTACAAATTTGAATGGCAGTTCTGAACTGCGACCCTCCCTCTAGCACCCCAGCGCAAGCATCTTTAAGTGAAGTTTCTAGGGCATTCCGAAGCACCTTCACTTGGCGTGTTCCTGACATGAATTTATCAGATGATTTTGAATTCAAACATCTTTTAAAATCTTGAGTCTCAGAAAGCCAGCTGCTGAGTTGATCGACTTCGCATATTTCCTGTAGATTTAAGAATAGCAAATTTACCGTATTTAAGAAAGCGATATCGAGCTGGAGGCTTTTATGACAAACTTTTAGCTACCCTTTGCTTCTTTAAAAAAATATTTTTATATAAATAGAACTTTATCTCATCTAATAAATTACTCGTGAATTTTTCGTGAAAATCAAATGAATGAGTTCTGTGAAGACTTAAACAACTTGACGGGTATATCCTACCATACATGAAATTTCAAAATACCATTCTGTCATCAGAACTCGGGAAGCAGTCATTGTTTAGGATCATAGAGAAATACAAGAAGCCTTTGCAGAGCTAAGTAAAGTATTAATTCCCAGTTGCAAACACTACAAAGGCTGTATTCTGTGCCTGTGGTATAAGAAAATACTTGCGACAAAGTTACCAGTAGACAACTAATTTGAGGCTTGTGCTTGTTCCGTTAGTGGAGCAATAACGTAATAATAAAAACAAAACTAAGACCTCTTGATGAATATGTTTTCCTCCTTTTGTGTTGGTTAATCTGTGTGCTTGCTCGGTCAAAGTTTCTTCTTTGTCAAAGTCACGACTGATGGAGTGCTTGCTAATTTCCAGTTTGCTGTTTTCTTCTGACGTCTGGATAGTTTCTGTCAAATAAAATAGCATATCACTTGAAATCTGTAAAATTCATTCTAATGAGACCCCGTATGCCAGGGCAAAATATCCATTATATTCTATTCAGCTGAGCTGAGGGAAGTTTCGAAGCGAGTAACTATAAAACCTTGCTGCATTTACCTGCTTCCTTTGGTAAATTTTTATTAGCTTGTTTCTGTGGTGTTCCATCCTTCTCCTTTCCATCTTTTCCTTTGGCCTTTTCTTGCTGCTCATGCAGTCGATCAACCCAGGTCTTTCCTTTTGATCGCTTCTTCACCTGTTCGCAGTATTGGAAAAGAGTGACAACCCACATGGCAATAATAGAAATACTAAAAAGACAACCGTTCGGATAAAATGCTGCTTACAGAGAGGAAAATTTGAAAAATCGTGGCAATGAATGTTTAGCATGATACAAAATGTAGATTTTTATATCCTTGTTTAACACTAACATTAGGGATTAACATTTTAGAAATAAAACACAAAACACCAAGGAAACATTACATATTTGAAGACAAGGTATAAATCTTTCAAAATAACAAATGAGTATCCCGAACTTTTCAATCTCTAAATTTCGATGTAGAGGAAAACTTTCTCATTCAAGATCTAAAGGAAATTTGAACTTGACTAACAGTAACAAAGTACGTTCATTATTACAACAACGCATGCAAACTTAGTCATAGAACATACAGTTTTATTTCTTGCATTGCTGATTTCCTTTTTCCTTTCTGTGAATATTGTCGGCGGAAATTCGCTCTTTTCTAACTTCTCGGCTGCAGTAAAAACAAGAAAACGCAAGGAGTTGAATTTTAGCATACAATTATAATTCAAGAGAATTCAGTAAACGTTCCACTTTTCATTAGATAGCAAAAGTAAATTTTGGGAGCTCATTAATTAACAAACAACTCAAATACGGGCGGTGCAGAAGAAGTGTGAATGGAAGTTTGCTTTCGAATTCCGGCTGATCAATCTATATCTGTTACAATTTTGCATGGTCCACATAAAAGTTAACAGGACTTATTATTAGAGGAATTAATCAAGTGTATATATAAAGTAGGGAGTGAAAAGCCTGTTTACCATCAATAGAGTCTGCAATGAATGGGTGATAAAGAAGCTCCGGCCATGATAGTCTGTTGTTTGGGTCTTTAGTCAGCAATCCTTGAAGGAAACTCTGGAATGGGAACATAAAGCAATTTATACCAAAGTGCGACCATTAAGCGTTGAAAGCTAACCAAGGGATCTTTATTAGTGAAACAGCAGATACCCAAACTCCAGAAAAAGGTATGATATCAAATATTGTTCGTGCATTCTCCGTTTATTAGAAAAAGTAGCGAAAAATAAAGGGTTTAAACCTTGAAACTGTCATCTATTCCTTCGGGCCATTTAACTGGATCCTGTAGAATGAAAAATCAAACAATCAGGTTATTGATCACATCTGCTATAAAGATTTTCTCAGCGATATTTCTATACAAAATTTCATCGTCTTAAAGGGCACATTATATTAAGAAAAAAAGCAAAAATATACAAAGAATTTGTTGCTCCAAAAGTTTTTTCGGATAGTCTTACCTTTCGAATAAGGCTAACCAGCTGAAATATACTGTTTGTGTAGAACGGTGGAAAACCAAAGTAGAGTTCGTATAAAATACAACCAAGTGACCTAGTAGTGAATAAACATTTATTCCAATGGCACAAAATCAACAGAATACACAAATACATTCTAAAATAGCCACCTAGATCATTCATAGACTTGCCTTAAAAACTTGATTTTTTATCTAGCAGGACAGCACAGATTTTTGCAAATTTAAGTTTTTTCACAACAGTATGAGTAATTGAATTTAAGGAATAAACAAATAGAAATATTTTTACAAGAAAATTGTTCAATAGAAGAACAGTTCAAAGATTTATTGGATACATAACTATGTACTTGAATGGCAACACCCTACAAGTTGACAAGACTTGCTACTATTAAGAAAATTTTTGGAAATCCTCACATTTTTATGCTTAGCAGCATTATAATTTAGAATTACAAACTATTATTTTGATAGATTTATGTGTCATAAAATATGCAGTTACTCAAAGTTTGTCAATAAACCTTTTTTTGCATTGAAATAAAATAAATTGAAAGAAACTCTACACAAGATGAGATTTAATCACAATGTAAATTATAACATCATGCATTTTAGTAAAAAGAGATTAAAAGCAAACAGACCATAGATCAGCAGTATGATCATAGGGTTTTTCTTCTACAAGTTCAGGTGACATATACAGTGGTGTTCCCTAGAAATCGAAATTCATTAAAAATTGTCACAGTAAAATATTCATCATTAACAATAATTCAAAGAGAGCAACTGACGCCATACAAAAGATATCAAATTATTCCCTCCTGAACTCAGCATTAAAATAAAGAACCACCAATAACAATAAAATTTTGAATAAACACTGTTTTTAATAGCCTTTTATTTCAAACATTAAAAAGAAGCAAAACATCTTTACCTTGATGGATGTTAGTACTACTGTCTGAAAACTCATTGCTCTTGCAAACCTAAAACATCGAGTCAACAGTTTTACAAATATATACAGAATAAATTCAGTAAAAAGGATACATATTTTTCCTTTTCTCTGGATTTAACTGAGACAGACAATGCAAAGTATCACATAGATACAAAACATTGGCATAAAAATCAAAACATCAAAATGATCATGTTTTCAACAATCATCATTCTCAGTTAATCAAGAAGTTTTAATCTCACCCAAAATCACATAGCTTTACTGTCCCATCTTTTGTCAACAAGATATTTTGAGGTTTCATATCTCTGTGTAGAATTCTATTCGCATGGAGATAGTATAAAGCTTCAACAAGCTGACAAGCCACACTGTGTACCTAAAACATGGTAAATGTTGCTTGCAATCAATTAATAGTGACTCATTCATTTGAATTTAAGCTTCTTGTAGAATTACAATTTCTGCATTACAGTGGAAAGTTGAATTAAGTAATTTTAACTTCATTTCAAGAAATCTACATATCTATCTTATATTCTTTAAAAACTAAATGTGAAGAGAAAGAATTGCTTTTTGCTAATGAAATGACTGAGAAGCAGTAAAGCAAAATAAATACGAAAAAAATGGAACAAATTAATTAAATTATGTATGTTATGTACTTCACATTCCTCTTATACCCTAAAAGTTAAAGAGATGCATTAATCTGCATACACAAAACACTTCTGTCACCTCCCTTCAATAAATAACTCATGCATTTACATCTAGAGCAATCATTGCAATAGAGAAAAGAGAAAAATAAAATAATCACCTGCTCTAAGGATAACTTCCCATCATCTTCTAAAATCTGGAACAATTCCCCTTCCGCATATTCTATGACCACACAAACCTTAACAAGAAACAGTGGCAATTAACAGTGGCATTTGTTAGAGGAAATATGGTATAACTTTACAGGAGACTTAAAAGGGCAGAAGGAAGGTAGGATACAAATCTTATCTGACTAAATAATGGATCTAGTGACATGGCAAAAACACAAAAATCTTTGTGGAAAGACATAAGAGAATGTCCAGGAAAATTTATAGGTCATGTGGTACGAAAAGAAGAGCTCAAAAAATTGTAATGACAGGAAAGATTCAAGGCAAGAAAGCGAGAGGAAGGCAGAGACAAATGATGTTACCATCCATGGCAGAAGATTATATGATGACAGCAAATGACATGCTACATGCTGCAAAATATCAAAGTAAGTGGAAGGCTATGACCGCTTACGCCCATGATGGGCATGGTACCTAGAGAGAGAGACGTGGGAATGGAGAATAAATGCCAAGAAGAAAATTTGTAGCAGCATGCTTACTTAGGAAGTCTTGTAAGAACACTGGAAGGTACAAACTTAGGTCATAGAGGTCAATTAGAGCCAGGTTAAACCTGTTATTCAAAACAATTGTTTTAGGTTTACACCATATTCGCACAAAGGGGTTAGAACAGACAACAGTCCTATCTAAAATTAGGTCAACAACACACAAGTAATGAATAGAAGTTGGGAGTTTTTTCATGAAAATTAACTAAGGATGTTGGACTGCAAGTAGCAACTAAGGATGAAGCATATGATGAAACCCCAGTGCAAGTGAAAACTATTATGAAACCAACAATACAATTTTTAAAGTGTTTTGAAGATTCAATGATATTTCATTTGATTATGGCATGTTAATTTTTGAGAAATTATTCATTGAAGTTTAATATGGTGACTTAAGATTGTGACCTTAGTCACGACCATGGTTGCTATCATGGCCAGATTGCTGGGGGTATTCAAGGTATTCAGGAATGCCAATTTTTTTCAAACAAATGCTTTTAATATGTTTCAGAATCAAAATCCAAATTAATTTTATTTTTGCGCGTTATAATGCTATTAGAAAGCAGACGAAGGAGCTTTAGAAAATATTGTTCATTTCCTGACCCTTGATTTTGTTCTGGCAGTAGATATAGATACTCCTTAACCCCTTCTGTTTTCTGATGAGGCCAGCAGTCACTAGTCACAAGGTGTTCAAGGACAATCCTGAATATATCTGCACTGTTTTTACTAACCCTGATATTGGTCACAGAAGATAACTGTGAGGCTAAACGAAGAATTTTAAAAGCAATGGTATTTAGAACTTTTCTGAATATCTTGAGCATACATGTCCCCTTGTAGCATTTGTTTTCAGAACCAGATGCTGCTTAGACATTTACATATTTCAAAGTATGTATTCTTTTGGAAAAGAGGAAAGACTATCGAAGAAAAACATTTTTTCAAGTTGTAGAAACAACTCTGTTATACAAAGGGATTTGCAGGGTTGTAGACTTGGATGACAAAAATATTTTTTTCTGACTTGGTTAAGCAATCAGGGCTTTTCTGCTGGCCCTGTCTGGTTATTAACATTTTTATTGTTTCAATCAGTTAGCTTTGTGGCCACATTTTTCAGAATCCAACCTGAATACCCTTGAATTCTGTGTGGCTTCCTAGAAAGGCTTTGGGCTGTGCTTAGGTCTTGGATACAGGCCTCAGTTTTTTACTGCCCTATAACCTTAGTTTCATACCTATTTATCCAGAATGTAAGGAAGCATTTGTTTTCGATTGAAAGGTACATTATGCATACCAGACCAAGTTTTCTTGCAAGTCCATCCTGGACAACTAAGACATTTAGCAAATAAACCCTTTTAAGCATAATATTGCAGCCCCCCTCCCAATGATTGTCAAACTGTAGTATGTTTCCTTTACAACAGTGTAATAGATGAGAAGGAAAAAAATGAGCAGCCCCCCCCCCCCCAATATGAATTTCGTTCCAATATGAATTTCGTTCCAACTGCACTGTACTGTATATATTATCTAAAGTGTACCACAAATGTTTTGGAATTTTTGCTATTTTTGTTGGAATGAGGACAAGGGGAGGTAATCTATCAAAACTATTTAAACATAATTTCAGAAGCCAATTTTGAAAATACTTTCTGAAGGACTATGTAAAGGTTGTGACATTGGGGATTTTACTTTTTGGGTGTACCATTTTATCAAGTATATTTTTAGTACCTTCAATACCTATTTAATATTGCTCCAAGCCACTCCTGGTTACAATAATGCTTTAGCAGCAACAAGACACACAAGCAAATTAGCAACCTCAATAGACTGTATGACAAAATCTTAGGCTGTTAGCTTTGAATTGGTCCTATGGTTCAATCTGCAATTTTTAACCCTTTGTTTCATACCTGTTATGTCTGTCAAGCCACGCTTAAAATCTTCACCCTGTGAAGTCTTTCATATTGATACATATACTGGCCATCCTAAGAATGTGTGGGTAATTGCTTTAGTTGTTGTTTTATATGTATAGAAATGTAAGAATGAAATTAGGGGGACCGACCTTATCATAGATACAAAAAACTAACATTTGCTTATCTAGTAATTCCATAAAAACTTATATCATTAATAGAAAATATTAATGTACTCACCTCTTTAGCAGTCTCAAAGGAATCTAGTAAGGATACAATGTTTTTATGCTTTAATCTTCGCATGATATCAATCTCCCTTTGAAGGCTCTTGAGTTCCTTCTCTAGCCTGTTTGCTTTTGGGATGAATTTCATGGCAACCACCTTGAATTACAAAAGAACAAAATTTAATGGTCTAGATGGTCTATTTTTTATGAGATCTTGGGAGTGCACAAGGAATTCAGTAGCTGAAAGCTTAAACCACCTGCTTCATCCCTTGCCAACAAATCTGTTGTATGCTAGATTGCCTGTAGGCTAAGATGCACAGGTCCTAGACCCATCTGAAGCAAAACTATAATCAGTTATTCCAAATCTACGTCCTTTTTTAATTGAACGGTTTTAAGCTGTTGCATTAAAAAATGAATCTGACATACCTCTCCAGTATAAACCCTCCTTCCGCGATACACTTTGCCAAAAGAGCCTTCTCCGATAAGCTCCAATACATGATAATTTCCCGATATCGTTTTGTTATCCATGAATTTGAAGAAGTTTAGACACGAAGCCTATAATTCAGTGCCTTTTGAGTACTCTCTGCACTTCGCGACAACCAGCAAGATCCTTGTTTATGGTTGTTGCTGTTGCATGCAGCCTCGTTCTTTGTGTAGCTCTTTGAAAATTTGTTTTGGTTATAATCACGTGGTAACAGTCTGTAATATCACTAGCGTTTGGTAAAATATGGTGCGTGTGAAGAAAAGGTAATTGTTTGTTTGAAAAAGTACTGCATTTATTATTAATAATGTAATTTTAGCAGTTGAAGGTGCAATTTTAGTTGTCGATGATGGATTTCAGCAGGAGTTTGAGACCTCGCTGGTTGAGACGATACTGGTATACTTTGACCTTGTTGTTGCAAAGGAATTTTAATTTCTTGACTTTTTTATATTAATCGTAGGGAAACAGTTCTCTTACCTACACTTTCAGCCTTATAGGGCATTAGTTACACCTTATACTAGGGCTTGACTATAGAATGGACCTTCCTTTGCTAAGGGAAAACGTTGCCATGATATTTGTCATATCTACCTCTAGTCTAGCTAGGTTTTTCAGCAACTCTAAATTGTACCCTGTTTGACCAGACTGCAGAGTATGGCAAGTGCACACCCGAGATATTTTTTTTCTAAAAATCCCCCTGCACACCTGGCGAAGGGTGTGGCACTTTGAAATCTGGGCGTGACATGGGTATGACCTACTGCTTAGTGCAAATAAAGAATTTGAGTTTCTTCTAGATTGACACAATCTCGCATTGGCTTGAAAACTAATAACTTTCAATCACCTACATTTCTTACTTCTCTCATATTCCCTTACCCAATTGATATTCTTGGGATCTAACATAGTTGTGTGTATTAATTGTACACAATTGAAGTGCACACTTTACCAAAGTACACAGTTAGGCAGACTTGAAATTCTATTCTTGCACACCCAAGATCTTGTTGGAAACTGTCATACTCTGAAGCTGACTGTTTAAAAAGAATGAGGTTGGGATGATATCTTTTATCACCATTCATTCAAAACCATGACCATACAATTACATAACCATACAAATGAGAAAAAGACATCATGAGCTCTCAGTGCATTATGTAAATACAACTTACAAAATCCAAGGTAAATAAAGAGGGAAAAAGTAACAGCAAAGAATTTTATAAAAGAAAATGTGAGAGCACAGCTCTAAAACTTTTACTTAACTTCTAAAAGTCAAAAATTTAAAAACTACTGACTGTATCCCAGATATCCTGAAGAATTGTCTTCACTTGATTTAATTTGTAGGTCTCCATTGGGCTTACCTGCATTTTCATTCCTGAATGCTGCTAGTTCAGCTAGTTCCATTTGTTATGTTGTTGTTCCCATTGCCCTCAAAAAGTCTTTTATAGGGATCAGTGGGTTGTTTCACAGTCATTCCTTGGTCGTTCCACTGGTTCAGCCGTCATTCTTTGGTCATTCCTCTAGTTCCTCGTTTTAGCAATGTTAATTTTTTATTTTATTCTATCTCTGTTTGATTTAGCATGAACATTTTTATGAACAGATTCCATTTTATTCATTCTATTTATAACATTTTACTTATTCTTGTGCATTGTTACCTTTTTTATTGCCAGGTATATCGTACTTAAATTACATTGTGAGGAAGACACAAACCATGTAGTGTCAGGAACATCAATCTATCAAGCAATAAAAAGGATCTATCATGAACTTTATGGTGATTTTGGTATTGCACATCTAGGGTCATTTGGAGGTATGCTTCTTAGCATCTCTTTGCAGTAATGCTTGTTTGTAATAGTGACATGATTGCAGGTTTTTTGAGGTTTGAATAATTGAGATACATCTATCTTTGTAATCATGCTCAGAATTAACTTTGTTTATTACACACATATTGGGGCCCTTGATCACAGCATTGATATTATCAATTGACTAAAATTTTTAAATGCCTTTTTTTTCTTTTTAAATCCAGATGTTTTTCAGTTAGGTATTTCTTTTCAATGTAACTTGTAATTTTATGTGTGTTTTCCTCATTTAGTTAAGTACTATGACCAGAAGACAAAAATGATTTTTATTCAATGCAACAGAGATCCACACAGGAACCTGATGCATGCAGCAACATTAGTCAAATCAATAGATTCAAGGCCATTTAGTTTACAAACACTGTATATTGCAGGTAATATTAACTTTTATGCTATATTTTGATATGACAGAACCTTGCAGAATGGTAACTATTAATTCTGAATGTTTAATTATGAAATATTTTTACAATATTTGATTTTCAAAATCATTTCATGATGTGTTCATATCAGCCTGTTGCTAGCTACAGTGCTCAAGGGGGATTTAAAGGTCTTATTTGGACAAAGTGGTTGAGCCACCCTTTATTTGCTGACAAGTTTGAATATTTTCAGACGAAGCACCCCTAGATTGTAGAAAACTACTCATTTTTGCAACAGTATTTTTTTAGAGGGAGTGTCACACCACCTATTGCAACAGCCCTAGCCATAAATCTGTCCTTTATTAACAAATGAATAATTTTCCTTGTATTTACAAGCAGTGGGTTCCTAATAAATAAATCTTATGAACTATACTTCTGATCTGTCCAATCAATGGCGTAACATAGTTTAGGGCACCTTGGCTTTATAACTAAGGGCCCCCGATTATAACCGAGATTTTTATATTCACATTCAGCACGTTTTCACAACAAGAACTTCTTGCAGTCTGCTAGTATGGAACTCAAGTGTCTCTGTATTCTATTGTGATCAATTCTGCTTAAAGTCAGGCAGCTATATAATGTATTCGTGGTTTCATTAATTCCCTAGAGTTCATTATATAAAATTTAAACTGTAATTTTGTATGCTCTGTTCATCCAAACAATAACTTTTGTGAAAGCTATTTCTTACTTTCTAGGCACAATGAAGTCATGTCAAAAGTTTCTCCTGCAGTATAGTAAGGAAGAACTTCTCAACAGATTAGAACAATGTAAGGAGAACTCTTCCAGTAATTTTGTAAATGATATTGAAGAACCAATTTTTTAGCAGACTTAGAATTGCCATATAAGAAAGCATTTTTATCTTATCTTTATATTAAAGATTTTTATAGTCACTTTCTATCCTCCTTACTCATCCCAATTTATGTAAATGCAAGTGATGCATCACAATAAAACATTTGGCAAACTTAACAAAAACTGTAGTTTGTTTTTCTTAAATTTTATAAAATGTTTTAGCCCAATGCTCAGCATTAGCATTACTGTTAAAGGCAAAAGGAAAGATGAACACAAGATATTGAGAAGAAATACATATTCAACTCAACTCATTCCAACTCAACCATTGGCAGAAATTCATTTTCCAGGTGGGAAGCAATGCCCACAAAAACAAGCAAATTTGCCAACAAATAACATTATTTTTGTCAGAAATGTGTCAAAACTTGGGGGCATTCACCCCAATACCCCTGCAATTTCTGCCACTGAACGCAACTCAACTATATAGTTTCAACTCAACTTAATTAGACTAAGTGACTATATTTGACACAGACTTGTTAATGTAACAAAGTTGGGAATTTGTTTTGATATGTTTACCTGCAAGGAAACTAATAGATATTTTTTGACTTTAATTTCATCAAATTCAGCAGTTGTTTTTAATAAAGTGAGGGTAACATTATAATATATCTAATAATGAAGTTTAAATACACCCAATGAGCCGGGTGGTTGGTTTCAATTAAACCAAATGATTAAATCTAGTTCTCATTGGATCGAAATCATTGAAAGGAGATTTTCTTTTAAATTACTCCTTCTTTAAGAATAAGCTTTCGTTGACCAAATTATAAATTCTGGAAATTAAACTGATAACGATAACTAACAGCTGCTCGAACCCAAATTTACTTCAGGTGCCTTATCGCAGTTACATAATCCTACAATTTAAACTAGCTCAGGTTAACTTGTTCCTTTGTAAGATGCTGAACTTGAAAAACCAATTTTTAGATGTAATTGAAAATTCAACAGACTTTTGACGTGTACACCATTGTGTTATCTACAGACCTCATTTAAAGGAAGTTCTAAATTTCTAATTGAAAATTTTTTCAGACAAATTAGAAGGTTAACAATTTTAGAAGTTAATGCCGTTGTGTATAAATTTTTCAAGCGAATCTGCTTAGGAAATTCCATTGCATAACGTGTTTGACGCATCGATAAAAACATCGTCCTTAACAATTATAGCATATGAGCATCAATGAATATGTTTGAGTAACACTTTTCGAATGGTACATAGCATTTGATTGGGGAAAGAGCCAAAATTAAATCAAATAATGATATTGGCCTTTTTGCTCCTCATTGGCCATTATTATATAATCACGTATTTTAGCGACACAGTTCCAGGTGATACGTCTCAAACAAACCCAAAACTAATCATCGCCCGTGAAGAGTAAATTATTACTGTGCCTGATGATCGCATTAAGCATGGGATTCGGAGTAGCAACTTAGAACCGTCTTATTCTACACATCAAAAAAAGTGTACAACCCTTCCTATACGGTATCGGGCACTTGATGACAGACCGGTAAACGGTAATTTTCATTAAATTCTGTAATACTGTTCTTTCGCTATGTCGGCCGAGAAATACTGTTTGCTAAGTTTCCGCTATTTCGTCTCATTTGCATATTTTGCGGTACAAAAAACTTTTACAGATAAAGTAACATAAACAAATACTCAAGGATAAGGATAAAGAAAAATAGATTATAAGATAATCTGAATACTAAGCAAGAACTTATCCGTCTTCTCACATGGTCTGGAACTTACTCTTCCTTGCCCCTTAGCCTGCTTCATTAAAGCTAGACCTATAGCTAATGTTAAATCCATCTGTGCAAAAACCTACCTGAAAATCATGGCTTCCTAATCTTTCTTTGGTTTTACTTTTAACTTATTACCCCTTTCATGTCATTCAGGTCTGTGAAGCTCAACCGTCTGCGTTCAGAAACCTATCCTAAAACAGAGATATTGTCATCATTCTGTTTGACAAAGAAGATTGCTGTGTTTTTCTCAACCGCTTTTACTTAAAAGGCTGGTGATCTCCTCCCTGATATTATAAAATTTTATTCTTAATATGCTTGAGCTTTCAATTAAAAGAGATGAGAAACTTGTTTGCTTTTAGAGAGATCAATATTAAGATAATATGTCATTAATTCGTAAAATGAATTTCACTGCCCGCCCTATTCTTTCCTTTCTCGGTACAAGCAAAATTTCCTGTTCCCATGCTACTGTTAATGAATTTTCTATAAAAGAATCCTTTTTATTTTTGTATCCACAACCAAAGAAACCAGCGAAAGTCAGTTCATGACTTGAAAAACTTTTCAATTTGGACATTAAACTAATGTTTTCTTTACTAAATAAAGACTATCAGAAAAAATGCTCGCTGTTTTAACGGCTCTCAGTTTCATGGTATTCTTACACTCAATGGCGACGCCAAGAGGTGGTATGGGGGGTAATTACCTCCCCACTTTTCTGAAAATATGATCTATATGTTTCTTCTAAAAATGGATTAAAAAGCGCTGGGTAGGAGTAGATCAAATTTCCCAAGGAAAGGGACGAATCACTGGAACGAGAGAAAAGGGGCGTGGTCACACTGGCCAGTACCCTCCCACTCTGTAATAGCTGGCGCCGCCACTGCTTACACTACTTAAAATAATATTTAATTTCAATGCCCGGTTCATCAATTAAATAGAGGTTGTGGCCACGAGCTCTTCTCTTGTCTCTTCTTGCTATCATTTTAGGTGATTGACACCCGAGATTAAATCTCCCGTCTACCGCTGACAATACGTTGAAATTTTCTGCCCATTTAAAGACCCAGAATATGCTGCCATATTCCATCAATTCCGTAATAAGCAACATCCCAAGATTTTATTTATATGAAACTCAAACTTGAAGAAAACTTTGCGCAAAAATCGTGGAACCGTTCCGTTATAATGTGGTCATAATCGTGGTCGTAATCGTTTTGTTCCCTTGTGAACCGGCTTTTTTCCTTCCGAAGTTTGGAATGCCATTAGAACAGCACATTATTGCTCCCTTGTGAACGGGGCCATATTGCACGACAGCCAGCTTCTCAGCTCTATACGATGTTCGATATTGTTACCCTTTACTTTCCTCTGTCTTTCTTCAATCTATTCATTTCCACGCTTTGTTCTTAGTTTTCCCTCCTTGTTCCAGTCATTTCAATTCGGTCCCTATGCACTTGGAATTGTTTTATATTGTTTTAAGCTCATTTCCAAATATTTGTTCATTGTTCTCATCAGTTTCTATTCATGTTGTTTCCCTCTTTGACGAAATATGACGAACCTTAACTCGTTTGCAAGCATTTTTCGATTGTGTCTTAGAATTGCCAGCGACAGTTCTAATTAGTTTTTCTTTTGTCAGTGTCACTTAAACTGATTTCTTACTTGAAATATGTTTAACGGGAACATTCTTCGTCGTTTCACCAGACTTATGGGCCCCTAAGCTCCTTAACAACGTTTCTATTTAAGAACCACATATAGAGTCATCGACATAAAATTGAACATGTCATCGACATGATATTGCTATTTTCCATTCCTGCTTGCTTTAGGGGGTATCTATTTTGCCTTTAGGGGGTATCTATTTTGCCTTTAGGGGGTATCTATTTTGCCTTTAGGGGGTATTTATTTTGCATCATGCCTTTAAAATGGACATACTGTAAATTTGACTTGTTTGCAAAAAATTTTGCATAAAAAGGTACTAAAATACATTCTATGCATTTCTACGCTAACTCAAGAAGAGTACTTCTTTGATTGGCTTCAGTTTGCTTGGAGCCAACAATTGTTAAGGACTATTATCACATCAGTATTTACACTTGTGAACAGTTAACTTTGATTGAAAGTTGAATTGAAAAGAATAGTGAAGTAGGTGGTCATAAAAAGGCAGTTATAACTTCTCTGGCTCCAAATATATTAAATGGTTTGGGTGGCAAGCCTTCTATGCAATATTCGAAATAAGAACACCGCAACTCCCTCAAAGAAGTAAAAAAAACGCTAATATGAATTCAATTCACGTAAAACTAACCATTTATCACCATGTTTTATGATGTTGGATGCCGGATAACCAGAATAGTGAACGCTTTAGTGTGAAAAACAGGGAGATTCTAAATTGCAAACGATGCCTGTTTTTTTTTTTGCTTTTCGTTGTCAACGTTATTGTGAGTATTAAATTAGAGGTGTTGGAGGACGTCATGCATTGATGGCTAATAACATGACTGTTTCGTTATTCGCCCTTCATTTGAAAGCCTTAGATTGAAATAGATATCCAGTGTACCTAGACCAAGAAACGCTGACAATGGAGACAGCAGCTGATCAAGCTTAAACATTCTTTTTATGAAATATAATGTCTCTGCTATGTTGCCCATCGAGCTTAGTGCTGTGTTTCATTATATTCTACCTTGAACTCCAACTTGACCTGAGCAAAACAACCGTGATGATTCCGCAAGGTGCGGTTTGTCAAAATGATTTAGCAGATGCTGTGAAGCTTTGCAATCAAATCACTGACTTGATATATACTCATTATCGTTTTGGTTTCATATAACACATAACTTTATAAATTTACCTTACCCGTAAACGTACAAACCCAATTGTAATATTTGAAATCTAAAAACAGCCATTCAAATGCAGCTTTTGGTGTTGAATTAATCACAGAGCACTTCAACTAAATCAGAAGTCCAATAATTTCATTTAAAGAATTGCAAATTAATATCCTTCTTCAATACTGAAATTTCTATCTTAAATCAATATATCATTTCGCATATGATATATGATATTGTATAGGTTATATGCAAGATTAACCGAATGTCACGTGACCAGTTTTAATCAACACACTTTCAGGCTTCATTAGCAGCAAACATCGTATGTTAGATTAGAACTTCTTGTCTCCAAGAATCCAGTTTTATGATTCGTCTCAATCATAACCTCATCGATTGTAATGCAGATCAGTTGTCGAAAGATCTTGCAGGCTACAGCTGCAATTGACTTTAAAAGCATGCATTGTTCTTTAATTGATGTGTTCTCGTCTTGCTGAAAATTGGTTATGAAATTCGGATGGAATTTTGAAAACATATATGACATGAATAGAGAGGCATAACTTAGCAAATTGAGTTTCACGTAAACTGCTGTGAAATTGTTCTACTATTGTACTGCATGCACCTGCACTAGTTGAGACAATGAACTGTCTAATTAAAGGGATAGATGTTTTAGGCTGGAAGACACCAGTCACCGTATTCGAATGCAAAGCATTAACTGATAACTGAGTCAGTTTGCAAAGCCAGGATTAAGCGTGAAAAATTAATTTTCAGCAGGCACTTTTACGCTATGTTTTTGAACTTATAGTTACTCTGTCAAAGTGCTGAGATCCGTCCTAGAGATTTCTTTTATATAGGAAGCGAAAACCTGCTGAAGAACATTCAAGGTATGACTGCAGCCGAGACGGGAAGTTTTCTCAAAATGGGAGGTAAGTATTTTTCAGAAAAGCTCACGAGTTTGACATGAAATACTTGTGTCAGGCAAAGGTATTTAAATGTAAGTAAATCTGCAAAAAGCAGCAAAAGTGAATTGAGATATTATAATGAATTCGATAATGTAAGCTACATTAAATCAAATACAAAAAGATCGAAATGTCGGAGGTTTTTTATAGAATGAATATACTTGCAAAGAAATTATGTATTGAGTAAATGAAATATGTGAGCATCAATGGACATGCAGCTTGGTTTTAAACAAAGCAATTTGCATTTAAAAACATGCAGCTAAAGTCATTTCCTTGTAACTGTATTAGCTCACCTCTATCAAACTGTATTGTGACAAGGCTCATTAATTAAGCGATTGTCACAATAATGCGTGAGTTTTCAGGCTTCAAAACACTCGGAATCTTAAGATCTAATATACAAAAAACTTCAAAATATGAACATAAACTACAAAATTCTTTACGTAAAACATGTCTATTTATAAGAAAGAAAGCGGCTTCAGTCTGATCTGAATATCAATAAAAGCCGTTGACTATAGCTGTAAAGATAACGCATTTGCTTGGATCTAGCAAAGCATTCTTTGTTTTTTTTATAAATCTAAACTCCAGCTACTGCAATTTTTACGAGCGCAGGTAGAAAAACCTGAAGCTGTTATTAAATTTCATCATACATAGCTAGTCTTGAACACAATGGTCAAAGGATTCGGTTCAAAAGCTTAAATAGCTTTGTA